CTTTTTTTTAAAAAATGTAGTATGTTACAGTTTTGCTTTAGCTGCTCTGTAATGCTGTTGAATACAAGATTCAAACAGTTTAACTGTATAGCTGAGTATTTGGTTTAAGGTAATTACCTTTATGGACATTTTATTTTTGTTTACAACTGTTTTGTTCCCTTTTTTTAGCCTAATTTCTACTTTAAACACATTTGCTTTAAAAACTTACATATAAACTGCTAACATGATTCATATATACACATTTTATTTTTCCACAGAGAAACTTAAATATTTTGAATGAGTTGTCAGTTCCTCTTCTAATACACAAGACCTAAATAGGCTATTTTTGTTAAAATATATAATATTTAAAACCATGTTCATAGCTATTAAAACTTTAAAAAAGTAAAATCAGCAATTCTAGTTCATATAAAATAAAATTAAGATTATAGAGATTCTTATCGAGATTATATATGATTATCTAGAATATTATCTTATTACATATGTTCTTGTTAATTGAAAGCTAGTTACCCTGTATACACGCACAGTTAATTTAAATCTTTAGGTAAATATTAATGGTTGAATTTAAAATGTTTGGAACCAAACATACACAGAGCTTCCATACCAGAGATTTATAAAATAACCCCTACGATGTATTATTGAAGCTGTGTGAAGAGTGCCATTTTAAGTTTCTTAAAAGCCCTATTCGGGATTAGACTACCTTCAGCTTTCTCTAGCAATATTTTCCCATTTAGTAATTATTTAAGTTAACATATGCACTTTTTCAAACATGTAATTAAAACTCAACTCACATTTTTCTACATGTAATTGCAGAATTAATTTGCATTTAAGAGACTTTAAAAGAATGTATATTAGTTCAATTCATTTTACAAAAAATATTCCTCCTAAATTTTTAAACAACATCAATTAGGTCTATTAGGACTGTACAACATGGAGTGTAATTTATTTAATTAATTTAATATGTAGAATATAAAACTACCGGGTGAAACCTGTGCTCTGAGCCAAAATGTAACAGAATCACCCAAAAATGTGCTCAATGGGCAGTTGGTGACAAAAATAAGAGATTATGGCAGTGATATCAGCACATCAGTACTTTTTCACATATGGCTTCTCCATTTTGGGTTTATTTTTATTAAATAAACTTGACACAGTGTAATATGTCATGTATTGTTGTTCATCTGAGGTTGTATTTACCTAATTTTAAGACCTGCTCAGGGACAGATGTCAAACTTTAGAATTCAAGGAGGGTGTGCTTTCTTTTTCCCTATGGCTGTATTTCCATTTTGCCCATATTTGTATGGAATTCATTGAGATTTGTAAGGTAATTACATTATTAATGCAGAAGTGGGGACTTCCACATTAGTTATATCTGAAGAGAAGACTGGACCCAGATAAGTGTAAAACTTTTGAAAGTAGTATGATTACTTATTATTGGATGATACGGGGGGTCCTGTTTCCATAACCACTACGGGGATATATAGTGGTTGACCTGAATGGGGACAAACTGGAAAGCAAGCTAGTTGGGTTTCATAGTACTCTTTTTGCTTGTTGCATTTAGTGAAAATCTGATTTTTTTTTCCAAAAAGGAATGCAATTTAAGGCTATATTCGTGAATAACCCCAAGAAGTGCATATTTTTTCCTATGGTGGAAATGCTTTTCTGCATGTGCCAGATTTATTGCTGCAGCGCACCGAGCATTATTTTTATACTTCTGAAAATAATTTCATCAAAATTAATCTAGGGAAAAACACTGAAAATGTTACGGTTGAAAACAATCATCTTTGACTGTATTGTCACTGCTGATGGCAATCATCCTACAAAGTCTGTTACTCCTTTTGAGTTTTCTGAAACACATAAATGATAAAGGCAGAGAATGTCTTGTTAGTGAGCTCTTCTCAGTTATGTTAAAACACTAACCCCCTCCCCCTACCAATCTGTCAACAATCATTATGCTGGCTTTTCCTTCCACTATGAAACAGCCAGGCTTGTGTTAATCTCATTCAGGCATCACTACAGTCAGCTTAAATAATTACATTCCGGACAAGTGAAAAGGGTTTTTGAGTCCGAAAGTCATCAATATTTCATTTTAATCCAAGCTTCAGACATCAGGGACCAGGGACTGCATCATTACCCATGACTAATAGAAATACCATCATTACACTGGCTTCTGCTGAAATATTTTGTGCACATGGTGGGGCATTCAACATGCAGCTATCTGTTGGAAAAGCAGAACCTTTGTAACCATCTAAAAAAGGTCACTGACACCAGGAAAGAATTAATGAGTGAAATTATTCATCAACATCCTCTTGGTTACCAAAGGATTGATTGTACAAATTAACTCAATTTCTAAATGATGGATTTCTAAGTGGAACATTTTCTAGGTCTACTTGTACTTTGTGTTATTTTTTAAATGGCATATTGTGTGCTTATATATATAAATTCAGGTTATTTTAGAGAAACTAGTGTTTGGGTCATTTAGCTTATCTAAGGCCAAATAGTTGTATTAGTTTATTTGTCTGTTGTTATGGTAAATCATTTTTTTAAAGTATTATACATTTGTCTGCAGCAGATGTAAGGAAAAAATGTGAATACAGGTTAATAAAACATACAACAAAAGTGAATACACCCCAATCAAGGGGGGACTCAATACTGGATTTTAAAGAAGGGAAAAAATCAAAACTGCAACTATAATAACTAGCTTAGAGCTAAGATTTGTGGGGCGATAATCACAAGTATCCTCAGCTATCTGTACCAGTAGTAACTAGTAAAAAACACTTTATTAGGTAAGACAAGAAAATAATTATACAAATGGAACTTACGCTGGGAAGCATTTATAATTATGTGTTACAACCACATTTCCCAATCCTTGTTTAACAGCAACCAATTGCAGTTTACTCAATGGGGCTTAAATCAACCCTAATAATAGCTGCTAAGTCCAGATAAACAGGATTGCTATAGGGAACGTTCACTAAATAGTGATCTGGGTAGTAAACATAACCCTGGGAGCAAAACTACAGCTAAGTAGCAGCAACCTCATAGATATACGAGAGGTAAGAATGAGAAAGAGGGACAGATTTCTATGCTAAACACACAATTATCTGCAAATATAGCGATGCCCTAAATGCTAGTCCCTAATTCTCCTAAAGCAACACCTTTGTGGGTGTTCTAAGCTGATCACTTATATCTGAATGTTCCAAGTCTATGCCTCCAAGCTACCCCCACAAAACCAAAAATCTAAGAACAAAAAAGGGGTGCTAAACACCCTGTGCGTGCATAAGTGCTAAAAGTGCTCCATAAAGTGAGAGTTAGAAATGGACCTGACACACGTTTCGGTGCATATAACTGCATCTTCGGGTTAATAACACATAACACCTTCTTTTCAAATGATATAGCATTTTCAAAGATAACCACACATTGTGATATGCCAAATTATTTATTCATACTTTAAATAAAAGAAGCTGCATTTTTGTCCAAAAAAGGGGTATGGGTTGTAGGGACTCAATATCAGGGGAGGAGGAGAGGAAGGGTGGATAGAGGGATTTAGTAAGGGAACAAAGGGAGTATCAAGGAAAGTTAGCAGTAAAAGACTGTGACTGAGAAGTTGGTAAAAAAAGTGCTTACCCCGCAAAAATTATATTTTAAATGGACACTGTAAGCAATATTGACATGACAGCTCAGTATAGTGAGTATGCAGATAAACATAGTTAATGGGTGTCATTTTCTTAGATTTGTTAAGTCATTTATCAGCACTTTGACAAAAAAAGTAGACTGTCTATGGCACCCAAAAACAGCCCCCACCTCAACTACAATAATAATGTGGAATTTGGTTAGTCACAAATTCCACATTGCAACCCAGAAAAACTAGAGCTCTCATCCAACCCCATTATAAAAGATAGAGAGGATATATAAGAAGGACTAGCAACACCACCCTATGCCTGAGAGACCCCAGTCGGTGAGCACACTCAAAAATAGGAGCTAGAGTTTCAATGTTTTTTTTCTCTTTTATTTATTTTTTTATTAAAGTAATCTCTAGACTTGTGCAATTTGTTTTAGCTGAACCACTTAATCTTAGAAAAAAAATCTGTGAAGTTCAAATCTCATTAATGAATAAAGACAAAAAATTTAGACTGTGTATGGCACCCGAAAACAGTCCCCACCTCAACCACAATAATAATGTGGAATTTGGTCAGTCCTACACTCTCAGGCTATCACTGTTGACTTGGAATTAACATTCTGTATTATCAGTATGGCTGAAGAAGGGCCAGTCTCTGGCTGCAGGGGAGACTCTAAACTGTTTTCAAACCACACTGATAAAGAACCAAGGGATTGTGCCAATATATTATTTGAAACATAATAATTACTCTCTTTAGCACCGGCAGCCTGACAAAAAGAAGAAAAATATTTTGTGGACCGGCGTCAGCCAGCAATGTGTGAGGGATGCAGTTTGTGTGTGACGGGTGCAGTTTGTGTGTGTGTGTGTGTGTGAGGGGTGCAGGGTGTGAGTAAGGGGGGCAGTGTGTGTGTGTGTATGGGGCAGTGTGTGTATGGGGGCAATGTGTGTGTGTGTATGGGGGGCGTGTGTGTATGTCTGTGTGTGTGTGTATGGGGGGCAGTGTGTGTGTTTGTGTGTGAGGGGTGCAGGGTGTGAGTATGGGGGGCAGTGTTTGGGTGTATGGGGGCAGTGTGTGTGTATGGGGGCAGTGTGTGTGTATTGGGACAGTGTTTGTGTATTTATGGGGGCAGTGTTTATGTGTATGGGGGATGTGTGTGTATAGGGGAGAATGATTGTGGGTCTGTGGGGTTGGAGGGTAGATTAATAAATATATATATATATATATATATATATATATATATATATATATATATATATATATATATATATATATATATATATATATATATATATTTTTTTTTAAATAAAAAAGATAGTAATTTTTATTTCCCCCCCCTTGCTTACCTTTGCTTGGGATGGGGGCATTTCCTGCAATCCCTGGTGGTCCGATGGGGAAACCCTGGTGGTCCAAGTGGTGAGAGTGAACTCTATCAGCCACAGGGGCTGCTAGTGTTCACTCTCGCGAGATTCAAAACATTGCCGGGGTAACCATGGCAACGCTTTAAGCTCACAAGAGGAGAACCCGGCAGAGCTGCAGGTTAGAGCTCCCCTGGTTCCTCTCTCTCCCTCCCCTGCCAGCTTCCAGCATTACACTACTAGCCGGTGAGGGAGATCGGCATGGGAGAGGGAGGCACGGAAATATCTTGCGGCAATTTATTGCTAGTCCACGAAAGCTTTCACCCGACGGTATAGGCAGGTGAAAACTTTCGCGGACCGGCAATAAATTCTTGAAGACCACTGCTCTAAACTATTGGTTAAAATATCCCTAATATCGCTTTCATAAGGTTGACATAGTAATGAAGCTGATTGGTTCAAATATTAATTTGAATATACAATTTTATCTTATGGTCATATATAATATATGCCATCTACACTCTAGGAATTATTTTGTGCTGGTCACAAGTATGAAAGTATGATACCCTATAACTTTCTGCCAAATAGTAAGCCAAACTAATTGTGCAATTTTATGATTAGGCTACATTTTGGACTGTGAGGTGGCAATCAAAGCTGTGGATTGTAGACAGTAATGCATGGGTGACTTTTTCTATTTACTATTTTGCACTTACTGTTTACATATCAGTGCACTTACTTGCCATCCATGGCTAACTTCACAGCATAATATCAACTGGATAAAGCTGCCATATTTTGCATAACTGACATCTAGACCATTGTGTGCTATGATATTTGCCTAATACTTACTTGTATACATCCACTGTTATCGCATATCTGTTATCTTATATCTAATATTATTATTGCATATTTTTTCAAAAATACAACCAAAAATATAGTGCAATATAGTGTATACCATCTACACTACTTTAATTAGAATTGTATATTGATAGTTGTATTAAATGTACAAGGTGTTATTTTTCTGATTTCTGATTAGCTTGTTTACTATGTTGAAACCTTGTGCTGTTTATACAAGAGTGTACAAAAGATAACATTCCCAATTAAGAATCTGGTTAGCCTACACACTGATAGACTCCATAGATCAATAAATAAACACAGCATTACATGATGTACAGGAAGTGGAAGATAGCCAGATCAATGACACAGGTGTAATAGAAAATGAAGCTAGATTGTCATGACTCACAAACACCATGTTGTCTGAATAAAATGAAAGGTATTACCATAAAATGCTGCCTTAAATTAAAACTAACTTGAATCATTTCCCCAAAAAAAGTTTAAGGGAGGAAAACCCTTTTTTTTAACTTGGATTTCAATACCTTAACTTTATGACCCACCACTGTTAAAGAAATAAGAAAGCTTGTGTATACTCTCTGAATTTTTATACATTCAAAATATTGCCACTGAAGCAGTGATTTTTAAATGTCAGCATTTCTGGTGGTTTCAAGGTGGTAATGTCACTGTATTCATACAAACCGTGTGGTGTTACACCATCATCAACTAACAATGACAGAGTGCAGGCATGGTAGGTTGAGGAGAGATGCAGAAGATAAAAAGCAGGGATATTCTAAACAAGAACAAAGAGGAAGAGAGGTACAAATTATTTAATTGTTATGATCTAAGGGCAAAAGTGAAAGAGAAGTGGGATAGAGAGTAGGCAGGGAGTGAAGGTAACAGTCTATTGACAAAATGCAGAGGGTACAAATTCTTTTAAGAGGTTGTTTCTATATTGCAGCTACTTTGGCCAATGGACAAGCATTTCATGGCACCTGAGGAGACAGACTTGGAAGAACATGGAAATGCTATCAACACCTGTGATGTTATCTTCAGAGAGCATACTGAAAAATTCCTGAAACCCAGAGATGGACATATTTTTGTAGGATGCAGCCTTTGGTAAGGCACAAATGCCCTACTACCTGTCTTCAGAGCTGACATGGTGAGAAGTGTGGATTATACTAAAACTGTAGCTAGTGATACATAATAAAGATTACCACCAACTTGGGAGAATTGATGTTTTAAATTGTAACTGCAGGCTTTATCACGGATTGCTCTATCTTGCTTAGAGCTGACTGTGGCAAATAAGAAAAACTATTGCTCTCATCCAATCCAATTATTAAAGGTAGAGAGGGTATACAAGAAGGACAAGCCAGTGAGCACACTCAAAAATAGGAGCTAGATGCCTTGTCAATAGAGTTTAAAAAATGTTTTTCTCTTTTATTTATTTTTTATTAAAGTCATCTGTAGACTTGTGCAATTTGTTTTAGCTGAAACACTTAATCTGGAAAAAAAATCTGAGAAGTTCAAATCTTATTAATGAATAAAGATTCAGGAAAACAAATCAGATGAACCAAAAGGGCAATTCCTGGAACCCAGAGATGGACATATTTTTGTAGGATGCAGCCTTTGGTAAGGCACAAATGCCCTACTAACTGTCTCCAGAGCTGACATGGTGAGAAGTGTGGATTATACTAAAACTGTAGCTAGTGATACATAATAAAGATTACCACCAACTTGGGAGAATTGATGTTTTAAATTGTAACTGTAGGCTTTATCACGGATTGCTCTATCTTGCTTAGAGCTGACTTTGGCAAATAAGAAAAACTATTGCTCTCATTCAATCCCATTATTAAAGGTAGAGAGGGTATACAAGAAGGACAAGCCAGTGAGCACACTCAAAAATAGGAGCTAGATGCCTTGTCAATAGAGTTTAAATTTTTTTTTCTCTTTTATTTATTTTGTGGCAAAACCGACCTCGCCACTGGGCATTGGAGAAGACTGATTGCCAGCCTCCTGCCATGTGACTATGGCCCCTGGGATGTATTGCCCTTTAAAGACATGATTTGGGCATAATGGATTTGTGTTGTGCTGCTGTTGGCCCTTTAAGAACCATCTGGGGACATACTGTGGAGTTACTAGGTGGCCACCATTTCCTGTATCAGAGGCACATGGTGAGAACAATGGATGAAGCACATGGTGAGAACAATGGATGGTGGCCATTTTAACTCACAGACACTGTTTGGACTTTTCAACACGGTGCCATCTCGCCAGTATTTGGTGCACAGAGACATTGGGCAGTGGTTATGGACTATACAACAGGGGACACCTTATACAGTAATTGTATTTCATATAGCCTGCATATGTTCTGTAAAATCTGCATTAAACTGTATCTTCCAAAGTACTGAAATGATCTGGGTGAATTTTGTATATGTTCACCCAGATCCCCCGGTTCCAAGGATATACTTTTTATGGGGTTATTGCATGTTTTGGGGTCCCTGTGATGTGTTTTATGAAACTGTATTTCTCTGTCTGTGATAATTAGATTACCCATTGTGTAAGGTAATTGTATCAGAGGCAGAGGGGAGGATTTTGTGTGGGAGTGTCTGAGTGTATTGTACGTGTTATTGGTTGTTCTGTAAAACCCTGTGGGCAGTACTAAGTTTGTGGATTGGGAATAAAAGAGGCTGTATGTGCCAGTCCAGACAGTTCCTGCTTAACCCTCAAAGTGAAGTGTCGTCTCATTATTGGGGAAGGATTTATTGTATGCTGTTCCAGTTTGACTGCTAGGAGTCTAAACCCATCCGTATGGTTTTTGCCTATTCAGCTGCTTATAGCATTCATATGCTTGAGAGAAGGTATACGCTTCTCTGGTTCGGTGATTGTGGTGTCTGCCAGAGTGCTTGGAGTCCTCAGGAAACGCTAGGAGCATCCTTTAATGGAGGTACCCAGTCGGGGTGCCAGGTGATCCGTTCCATATTTTTTATTAAAGTCATCTGTAGACTTGTGCAATTTGTTTTAGCTGAAACACTTAATCTGGAAAAAAAATCTGAGAAGTTCAAATCTTATTAATGAATAAAGATTCAGGAAAACAAATCAGATGAACCAAAAGGGCACAAGAACAGGCCAGTCAGTGTACTGAAAAATATTTACATAATCATCATTCAAGTCTTTTTTTCTGGTGTCATGGGCAGAATCAAACAAATCAAGCAAATGTGTGCAATTTGTTTCATTCACAAGCCACATAAATTTGGTCAAACTGTAGTTCAGAATAAAATAATTTTTTAAGTATAGTTATCTCACAGATTAGTCCTATAAGAAAAGTATGTACAAAAAATATAAGTGATGTCAGTATCAACATATCAACTCAGCTAAGAATGGACAAAAGCTTATAGAAACACAATAGCAGGAGCAACACCTTTTGTAATCGAATCTGGTGAAGGATCTTCGCAATCGTTGCGAACTGTGGGAAAGCATAAGTTCCCCAATCCGGCCACATTTGTAGTAATGCATCCATTGCTGTGCTCTCCCGGTCAAGTAGCCAACTGTAAACATTCAGAAGCCGTTGATTGGTGCAGGATGCAAACAGGTCCAAGCAAAATTGAACCCTCTGATTATCCAAGGCAGCAAACACCTGAGGATCCAGTTGCCAATAGCTGCTGTCCTCTAGTGGCAAGATAACCAGTCTGCCATGCGGTTGGTGTCCCCTGGGAGATGTTCTGCCTTCAGTGTTATGTTGAGGAGAAGACAGTAATCGAAGATCTATTTTGTGAGAACCGATTAACGCCTGGGAGTGAGTGCCTCCAAGTTGGTTGATGTAGACTGTGTATGACAATGACACCTGCAAATATCTCCAGACTGTTGATATGCAGGGAGAGTTCATGTGCCGCTGCTGACCAGCCCTGCCAAAAACACCCGTGGAGATATTGCCCCGGAAAATGTCTTATTGAGGATTGCACCTTATTTAAGGATGTGAAGACATTAATGTGCTTGTTTAGCTCTTTCAGAAATGCCTCTCCCAAAAGTTTGCCTTGTGCCTGTGAGCCTAATTCATTGGCCTCAAGATCATACAACTTTTCATCAATCGTAAAAGAATGCTATGCAGTGTCTCTCTGAAGAAAGCACCACATTCGTATTGCACAGAAAACAAAAGCAATGTTGGGCCCATTCAAGAATGTTGTGCACCCATTCACGGCTCATACCCACATAAAAGGATTTGGCTCAGGAGAAGGGGTCAGCTGCCAAATACATAACACTGACAAAGCCCAGTTGCATCCAGAAGCTTGTCTTGTGCTCCCTTAAACCCTTTATGTGGGTCTCTGCCACCTTTGCCCTTAAACAGCTTGACAATGCTGGGCGGATTTGTTCCTCACAGGAGAAATCTGACTGAGCCAAATCATATCTGTAATGGGAGCATTTAGGTGCCACACATTGACCCTTTAATTAGTAAACACTGCTTAGGATCCAGGAACAGGATCCAACACAACCTAAAAGACCCCACAACAAACAATAAAATGGAATATTGAGAAAACACAAGCTAAAACACTAGACTAAAGTAATTAATGAGGTAAACCCAAATTTCTGACCTGACTTGTGATGGAGCAGCAAAGAAAGAGGAAGTATCTTAGCTATAGGTGCGTCTTATACACTGAACTTTTTTTTTCAGATTGGTTCTTCGTTTTTTCAATGTTCGTTGCTGCTATGGAGTAAGCAAAGAAAGTTTATGCAAAATATGAAGCCTCATGCCATGTAGTAAAATTACTCTGCAAACAACATACAAACATTTAGGCATGGGTGTTCTAGAGAAGGGGTTCCCAACCCAGTCCTCAATTTAGGAATTATCCTGTTGTGCCTAAAGGGTTTTTTTTTTTTCTAAAAACACCTTAGACACAACTGAGTAATGCCTAAATCCTGGACTGTTAGGGGGTACTTGAGAACTGAGTTGGGACCCACTGTTCTAGAGCAACACACTACTCTGTAAAGCATTGCACCAACATACCATATAAATTCAGACATTGTGGTTGACATCTTCCTAGACAAAAAAAGTTTGTAAAACAGTTGGCAATATTTGGAAAATTATTTAATAGATGGGGAACTAGGAACTGCATTGTTTTGGCTCCTTTCCAGTTTGAGGAAATGATGATTTCAAGTTTCCAAGCGGGATTGGTAGGCTCTATCAGATAAATGAAATTGGAGAATAGTCTGACCAAGTCTACAAGTCTGGCCACATACTTTGGCCTCCTTTAAAATGCACAAAATGTATGCAATAGAAAAAGCATATCACGCATGCAAGATAAAGAGTAAAATTTCACTTTTGGTGTATTGTTCACAACCAATATAGGTAGTTGGAATATAGAAGTGAGACTGGGCATAAGTTGCACATCCCTAAATAAACATTTTTCATAACTACCTAGTTAATGGTAAAGGGTCATACCCATCATTACCAACCTTTACTGAAAAATCCTGTACTGCCTCTAAAATTATTGCTAGGGTCACACTTTGTTTTGTATTCAGCAAATTATTACTTATAATAGTACAACAATACTTTGCATTAATTCCCTATACAATGGTATATCTCCCAACCTCTAAGATGTCTTTTAGGTGTGCTATTATTATTATTATTATTATTATTATTATTATTATTTAGTATTTATTATTATTATTATTATTTAGTATTTAATGAAATGTACCCTTAAGTCAGCTACAAGCATTGGTTGATTAGGTGAAAATTGTCAGGGTTTTATATACTAATCTCCCTAGAGAACTACAGATATACAGGATTAAGAGAATGTATGAATCTTAAACACATTCATGTTGAGGATATGCATTCTGTCACAGATTACAGTGTTTGGAAGGGGAAATGTTGATGCAAAGAAAATGTGCTCAATATACCGGAAACAAGGAGTCCATGTTTGTATCTTATTGCTCCACAAAATTGTGAGTGGTGCAATTTGTACAAGTTGATACGTTTGGGCACCAGCTATATTAATCTCAAATTCTTGTCAACTGCTTAACTATATGTCCCAGTATCCTCTGTCAGATAGAGGCTTAATGATTATGTTTATCTATATTAAAAAGTAAGGAGCATGCTGACTGCTTGAGCCGCTTCCTGTTCTGGGCTGCTCACTGTGTAGATGCGGTAAAGACTAGGGATTAGTAGCAACCTCCACACTTTCATGTGACAATACTTTTTATTATATTTTATATTTTGTTTTGCATTAAATACAGTACCTATCTATAAGTTCAAGTGTTCCACTTGCAACAAAATATAAAATATCATTATGCACCAGTTTGTCAAAAAATTATATTTCAAACATATTTTTAAATAGTCATTGTGCAGATTGCTAAACTGGTTTGTCTTTTTATTATACTTACATGTAGAACTACTTTATTCATTCAGAGGTGGCTGTTTTATCTGCTGATGCAGAGGCAAGGGTCGTGACAGTAATGTATTCTGCCGGTGAAACATATTAAAAACTGTGTAGATTCAGCCTTTAAACAGCTTGACAATGTACATCATATGCTAAACGGTTTGTCTTTTTGGGTAATTAAGCTAGAGATCATTTGATGTGTCGATGTGGGAAGTTGATTACTTGTGGTCAACGGCTCTTTAAGTGCGATTCATTTTATCTCACATTCTGTAGTGAAAGAATTATGACATTTTAACGTTTTTTATTATTATGCGCATGAGTGGAAATGTTGATACTGTAAAAAGATAAAATGCCTTTTGTGTAATGATAAACCAGCTCAATTTAATGATGGAAACTAAAAGCTCTGGTAAAAACTGCTTAATTTACAAGCAGATTTTAGAATTACAACAGAAATATAGACAGAATATAATTTTTTTATAATTTAATTTCCTGTTACTTTAATATAAGTGGATAAATATGCTGTTTACGAAAAACTGCAGTAATTATGAACCAAATTATTTGTGTTGTTTACAAAAAGCAAATAAGCCAGATGTTAACCCAGAGACTTTGAGAGAATTTTACTCTTTGATATTCTTTAAGATGAACACCTACCAAGATTTCCACCTCTTATTTTTTATGTTTTGTTGTACATTTAAATAAATTGAGTTAGTTTAAGAAGCATCATATTAAGAAATGCACGTTCTGGGTGTGACAAAGCTATTTATTCTTTTAAAGATTAGCAACTTAAAAAATAAATAAATAACTTTACATTTAAATTAATAAACTTACCACTGCTGAAAACACACCTCAATGTATTATTTTTCCTAATTATATTATATATCCTTGCAATTATATGAAAATACAGTTTACACATTTTTTTTATTGCAGGTTTGTGAATCCTAGCCTGCCATTATAAATGCAGATAGGAAATTGGCAAATATTGCACTTTTTTACTGTATGACCTAGGATACAGTAAATGTGAATATATTATGAATAATAATGATGTGCGAGGGGTGTGGTGCGATGCGCTTGTCTCTTCTAATGGCTGACCATTCAAAGTGTGAGGTATTGTGGGGTGAGGTTCGGCTAGGATTATCAGCGGGTCAGTCCCCCTGTCTAGACATGGTACATTGTGTATTGGTGATGCAAAGAAGCTAGCTTCAATCCATACCCATTGGGCCACGTTTTTTGGATATGACCATTCGTAGATCCTAGTGAGAATAATGTCTTTGTGATATGTTTCTAGGTCAGGTAGTCCGAGACCTCCCCACTGTTTACTCTTTATTAAACAATCATATTGGAGTCTTGAATGTTTTCCTGCCCATATGAAGTTGGTGAGTAGTCATTTAGAGTGTGAGAAGAAGGATCTGGGGAGTTTGATGGGTAGGGTTTGCATTATATACAAAAACTTAAGGAGAACCATCAACTTTAAGATATGGATTCTGCAGAGCCACCCGAATTGTGGTTTGTTCCAGGTCTTTAGTTCATTAGCTACCTTGTCTAATAGGGGTGTGAAGTTAAGGTCGTAAATGCGTGATAGCATGGTAGTGAGCTGGACTCCTAAGTATTTAAATGACCCTGTGGGCCAGTGAAATGGGTATGTTGCATTTAGTGTGGATTGCATGTTGCGTGATAGGTTCAGTGGCAATATTTTACTCTTGCTCATGTTCACCTTATAGTTAGAGAGTAGATGATATGTATCAATTTCTTTCAGGAGGTGTTTTAGCGAGGCCTCTGGGTTTGAGATAGTGAAGTGAAGGTCATCCGCAAATGCAGAGACCTTGTATTCTTGCCCTGCCACTTTAAGGCCTGTTATGTTTGGATTGTCCCTTATCCCTTGCAAGAATGGTCCCATGGTAAGAATGAATAGAAGTGGGGAGAGGGGGCAACCTTATCTTGTGCCATTGGTAATGCGGACTACTTCTGATAACTGTCCGTTTACTCTTATTCTCGCCCCCTGGGAGGAATAGATGACTGATAGCCATCCCATCCAATTCTGACCGAAGCCTAGAGCCTCCATTGTGGCCTTGAGTAGGGACCAATCCACCCTATCAAAAGCCTTTTCCGCGTCTATGGTCAGAATTAGGCTCTGGGGCTGTTCCCGTGTAGCTAGGTGTATTAGACTTAGGAGTTTTGTAGTATTGTTTTTGGCCTTTCTGCCAGGCACAAACCCCGACTGATCTGACTAAAACCACTACTACAAGGACTGAATGGATCAGTCCTTGTAGTAGTGGTTTTAGGCAGTTAGCCAAAATCTTAGTGAAAATTTTTAGGTCATTATTTATGAGGGAGATTGGGCGGTAGCTCCCACATTCCTCTGGATCTTTTCCAGGTTTGGGTATTAGCGTTATGTGGGCTTCTAGGGATTCAGTTGGGAATGTGTGACCCGAGATAAGTGAGTTGAAGGCATTGATAAAGGGTTTTTGTAGGACGTCTGGGAAGGCTTTGTAATATTTGGTTGTGAAGCCATCCGGCCCTGGGCTTTTGATGAATTTGTCAGCTGTCAAGGGTCTGTCTATTGATTGTCTGACGTTTGGGGGAATCGTTTGTGTAATCCGATTGGATAGGAACTGGGCTATGTCTTCCGTGGGAGGGGGGGGTGTCTGGCGAAGGTTGTAGAGGTCTGAGTAAAAGATGTGGAACTCCTTGAGTATGGTTGGGAGAAGGTGGGTGTGGTTCCCGTCTTTTTGTTTAAGTGTGGTTATGTATGGACAGTGTTTGCTCTGTTGGAGGGCTTTGGCTAACATCCACCCGCATTTCCCTCCTTGGGTATAGTATGAGTGTTTAGTGCGTGTTAGCATTCTCTTAATTTTAGAATTTAGAAGAGTCTGTAGAGCAGTGTGCTTGCCTACTAACTGCTTGTAGAGTTTGAGAGATAGATTATTTTTGTGTGTCTGTTCGATTTGGCGAATTTCACTCAGGAGATCTGCGATTTGTGCTTCTCTCTGCTTTTAAATTTTAGAGGCTATAGCTATGATGTGCCCTCTCATTACTGCCTTGTGTGCCTCCCAAGTTATCGTCGGGGAGATAGATGGTAATGTGTTGTCCTCAAAGTAGTGTTTTAGTGAATCTGAGAGTGTTTTCATCGTGATTGGGTTGTTCAGTAGAGTGTCATTAAGTTTCCATTGGAAGCAACTGGGTGTTAGGGATGGAATGTGAATGACTAGGGACATAGGAGCATAATCTGACCACGTGATGGGGCCATATCTGCATGACTGGATGAGGTGTAAGTGTCTGTGCTGGATGAAAAGCATGTCTAGTCTTGAGTATGTGTGTTTGACTGTGGAGTAGAAAGAGTAATCTCGCCTGTGTGGGTGTGTTCTCCCGCAGTCGACTAGGTGGGTTTTATCTTAAGTCGAGTGTTGGAGTTGTAGGTCATGGAGCACGATGTCCAGCTCTGAATCCAGAGACATGTTTAGTTCACCTCCCATTAGAATGCCTTCTACATGTTTGTCGATCATTAGATATGTGCAATTCGAATTTCGGGCAATTCGGACATTCAGGCACTTCCGAATGTCCGAATAGATGAATTGCCGAATTGCCGAATTGTCGAACTCCCGAAGTTCCGAAATTACAGAATTTCCGAAGTTCCGAAGTGCCAAAGTTCTGAAGTGCCGAAGTTCCGAAGTTGCCGAAGTTCCGAAGTGTCGAAGTACCGAAGTACCGAAGTACCGAAGTACCGAAGTTCAGAGGTGCCGATGTACAGAAGTTCTGAAGCACAGTATTGCCTAAGAACTAATATACTTACCCAGTGGAAGAATGAAGAATGTTACACTGTATACAATTTTAAATAAAAAGTATACAAACATAGCCAGGATTCAGCTGTACGCATTTGCAACACTTACAACAATCAGGTAACATACATTCATATAAAATGTAAGATACTTACCCAGTCAATGTAATGACAGGAATGAATAAGTAGATAACTCCCTAATTCCCACGGTATTAGAGAGCTATTTACTAAAAGGCTGAAAGACCTAAATTGGTCTTTCAGACAAATTTACTAATACTAAGTAAAAATTACGTTATACTGCGAGTAGAGGCATGTCTACTTTAAAAAAAAAAAAAGGAAAAGGCCCCCCGCCTGAGCCCCCACCCGTGCCGTGCGAGTGGGTTGTCCTCCTCCCTGGCCCCCACCCCTGGGCCTTCCCCCACCCTGCAGAGCTCAGGAGCCCTCCATGGGTGAAGAAGGATTATTTTTTTTTGTGCTTTTTTAAGTGCGTCGGTTATTATGGATTTTTTATTTGGCCTTTTTAGGGGCTGAAAAAAGAAGATTTTAGAAGAAAGAAAACAGCAAATGGTAAGTTTTATTTTTTTTACAGGTACTTAGTTAAAAGTCCCGCCCTCAATATTTTTAGGGTGAGAGGGGTAGGTAGGGGTTAATTTTTTTGGGGGATGACTAAGGGTTTGGGGACCCCTAGTCACCTGGGGGGTGGGGGACAGGAGGGAGGACAATAGGTCCCCCCCTATTGGTATTTAGGGCCCCCACCCGCCGCTGAGGTGTGGGGGCCAGGGGGAGTACATTAGGTCCCCCCCTTATTAGTATTTAGGGCCCCCACCCACCGCTCAGGGGTGGGGGCCAGGGGGAAGGACATTAGGTCCCCTCTCTTATTCTATTTTAGGGCCCCCACCCACCGCTCAGGAGTCGGGGTCAAGGGGGAGGACATTAGGTCCCCCCCTTATTAGTATTTAGGGCCCCCACCCACCGCTCAGGGATGTGGGCCAGATGGGAGGACATTAGGTCCTCCCCTTATTAGTATTTAGGGCCCCCACCCACCACTCAGGGGTGGGGGCTAGGGGGGAGGACTTTAGGTCCCCCCTTATTCTAATTTAGGGCCCCCACCCACCATTCAGGGGTGAGGGCCAGGGGGAAGGACATTAGGTCCCCTCCTTATTAGTATTTAGGGCCCCCACCCACTGCTCAGGGGTGGGGGCCAGAGGGGAGGACAATAGGTTCCCCCCCATTATTTTACTTTAGGGCCCCCACCCACCGCTCAGGGGTGGGGTTCAGGGGGGAGGACATTAGGTCCCCTTTTTATCATAATTTAGGGCCCCCACCCACCATTCAGGGGTGGGGACAAGGAGGAGGACATTAGGTCCCCCCCTTATTAGTATTTAGGGCCCCCACCCACCGCTCAGGGGTGTGGGCCAGGGGGGAGGACATTAGGTCCCCCCCTTATTAGTATTTAGGGCCCCCACCCACCGCTCAGGGGTGGGGGCCAGGGGGGAGGACATTAGGTCCCCCCTTATTCTAATTTAGGGCCCCCACCCACCATTCAGGGGTGGGGGCCAGGGGGGAGGACATTAGGTCCCCCCTTATTAGTATTTAGGGCCCCCACTCACTGCTCAGGGGTAGGGGCCAAGGGGGAGGACAATAGGCCCTTATTCTAATTTAGGGACCCCACCCGCACCTCAGGGGTGGGGGCCGGGGGGGGGCAATAAGGGGGCCCTTTTTTTTTAACAGTGAGCAGCCAGAGGCAGTATAGCGAGTAGTGGCAACATTTACTAATACAAACTAATTTTTATTTACTTTTACAATTTAGGTCTTTCATCCTTTTGGTAGATAACTCCCTAATACCGTGGGAATTAGGGAGTTATCTACTAAGCGGCTGCAAGAGAAGTCCCTGTTACGGTACCTCCAGTAATAAATGTACAAACCGCCGTTTAGTGAATGCTCCCCGTTTGCAATAATGTGGTCTGGTAGCGTATGCAGTATAACCATGCGAACCGCCAGCTAGGGAACACTCCAAACTCCCGAACGGTACCTGTACGGCTCTTTCCCTTTATGAGCTCCAAATACACGAACTGCCAATATTAGCCGAACGCAAATATCTTCCAAGTGGCCAATAGTTCCAGTAAGCAGTCTCTCGTCGCCGGTAATAAAATCCCCCCAATAATGAGACCAAGCTCCGCTTTGAGGGTAAAACACGAACTGCGTTTACTGTGGGCTACCTGCCCGTATTTATGCAGGTCTCCCACTTGGTGGAAACTCCCCTAGGGGACCAAATGGGAGACTGAAATGACAGAAGGACATGGGGACATTCTGGACATACATCCCCCTAATATTCCCAGCATGCATCACAGTTTCCCCCCCTCTGCTCGGGAGATAATTGGGAAGTAATTCAATTATCTCCCAGAGCAGAGGCAAATCGCCATTTTAAATACAAGTCACAAAACACATAAAAATATATAACTTTATAACTGCCGAACATATTGCATTCGTGTAACACATCCCCAGATAGCCTGGATCTGAGTGCATATTATTGGCGAATAGCGCTCAGATCCCATACGCATAGTTCAATCGCCATGGAGTCAAAGTCTATTACAGTTCTTCGGTATGCGATTGACTCCATGGGAAGGCTATCTGGGTTAAGTCCATTCGTGTTATCAAATCTCCCGAACGGCCGGTATTCATATGCTTTTGTTGATTGAGAAGGGGAGGTCGACGGCTTCAGCGGTATTCGGTTGAAAAAGTGTCCGTTTTTAGTTCCATGGAATAACCGCCGAACACCGCTGGGCTTTCGCATAGTTAAAATGGCCGCCGCCTCGTGGTCGACATACAAACGACGACCACCCTGTATTCGGTTTTAATTGAGAAGTGTCTGTGGTTAACCGCAACGTTCTAATTGGGATCAATAGGTTAACCAGCAGCACACTTCTCTTCTGGGTGGCCGTCCGTTCGGTAGTTCCGTTCGACAAAAAAAAGACATTCCCTTAAACAAAGCATACGAACGGGGAAATTCATGCAAACGGCAAAACAGACGAACACAGTACTTTTAGTCCATACAGATGAGTCTGTCACAGTCCCGAAGTGCTGAAGTGCCGAAATTCTGAAATGCCGGAGTCCCGAAATTCCAAAATGCCGAAGTTGCCGAAGTTCCATTGTGTCGAAGTGCCGAAGTGCCGAACCGAACTGAATTGCCGAAGTCTCGAATTGCTGAAGTGCCGAATTTCAGAATGCCGAACCGAAAATTTTCCCCATGCACATGCCTATCGATCATGTTTATATACCTGCGTAGATGTGTGCTTTGTTTGGTGTTTGGCAGGTACAAGTTGGCAAATGTTACTAATGTATTTCCCATTTTGGCTTTAATTATCAGTAGCCGACCACTCGGGTCTGCGTATTGGTTTATATGGGTATAAGGGGTATGCACCCCTATGATAATGGCTACTCCCCTTGTCTTTGTCTCTGCGTAGGAGCCGAAATATCCCATATGCGTATTGTGAAAGTGGAACCTGTTTTAAAATGGGTCTCTTGGAGGAACGCAACATCTGCTTTCAGCATGTGGAGTTCCTGGAGGGTTAGCGATCGTTTTGTCGGGGAGTTGAGGCCCCTGACATTGAGGGTGACTATAGTGAGATTTGCCATTGTGGGTATCGGAGGGTAGGTGATGTATGTATTTCGTCTATTAATAAGATGCAATAGATAACAAAATTCTGACAACAGTTGAACTATTTACAGTGCTGGTGGTATGCAAGTGGAGCAAGAACTTGAGACGTTTATTACAGAAAGTCGGACAGCCTCGTTAGACGGTGGCTTTCCCCTAGATGGCGCTTATGCCTCAGGGGAGTTGTGTGGCTTTCCACTTGCAATTAGAGTGTCACTTTGTGATGGGGGGTTCGATGTAGTGTAACTAAAGCGCGACTCTCACGAGACGGGCAATCCTGTGTATGATTATGACATTTGGTGAATAATTCAGGCTTAGCGGTTACGTTTGTGGGACTGCTAAAATTGTGTGCAGACATTATTAACAGATAGTATGTTTCAACATATAAGTAAAAGTTATGGTCGCCAGCTTCAGTGGAAGTGCTAGGTTTCTAGGACCAGATCTGGGTCCCCTCACTGAGTGAGGAGGGTGCTCGGTGTGGGTGTGTGCATCTCAATTTCTTGCTCGGCTATATACTGAGGCCTTTACTCAAGTTATTTACCCCCTAGCGTGTATATCCCCAGTCATGCCTAGAGTGAAAAGATAAACATATATTGCGTTCTCTTCTATCCCGTTTGTTGTTTCGCCTTTCTCAAAGGCTATCTGACCTTGCGTCTTATAGGCCTGGGGGAGGTAGTGGGGAGAGGGGGTAGGGAAAAGGAATGAGAGAGGTGGGGAGAGGATTAGGGGGGTATTGTTACGGATTGGGCCCACTCCTGAGGGTAGGCGGTTGAAATGGAGTCCCTGGTAGGAGGTAGGAGAAGGAAGGGGGGGGGTTGGGAAGGTGAGGGAAGCTGTGCGCCGGACATCGTGCCCCCTAATTCCCTGGTTACATAGCATGCATTATACAAATTACCCCTCTACAGCTGTGTTCCCCCGTGCCACTTTGCTTAGACCTGGGTAGGCGTGACCTCAGATCCTTCTATATGAAGTGGGTAGTCTCAAGCAAGTCCAATAGTGGTGTGCACAGCTATTTCACGGGGCTGTGTTACCAGGCTGTGCACCTGCAGGATACAGTTCCGCATGTGTTGTGGTAGGTGGATAAGTCTTATCGGTATGGTAGGTAAAGTTCAGTGGGGGACATGACCATTCATGTCGTCTTCTACGGGGAGTTGGGGTGGTAGTGAGTAGGGCATTCCTTTATCTGGGGTACAGAACAGTTCCTCCAGGGGTTTATAGCCTCCTCCGTCGCTCACTCTTTGAGTGAGATCCTGTAACCCAGTCTGTGGGGTTTAGTCTTTATTCTTATGGTTGACACGTTGTACTGATGTGGCCTAGCAATGTGGTTGTTCCGCGGGTCGGTATCTTCTCGTTGTTGTTTTGTGCAGTGAGTCTCTTTACTGAGAGAATGGACCCACTCCCGGCCTGGGTCCGCCCTGGTGTGGTATTTAATCATTCTTTCTTTGTTTAGAGGGGGCCTATCCTCTCTGCTTTTGAGGTGCTTGCATGCATTGTGGGGGTTGTAGCCGGCCGTATCAGTCTGGAAGATATATGTCCGGAAGTTTTAGTGCTGAGGTAAATAGCTGCACATCTTCTGCAGAGGATAGGGTTGCAGTAGTTCCATTATGTGTTGCTGTGATAGCCAGGTGGAATCCCCATCTGTATCTTATGTTTCTGGAGTGCAATAGATCCGTAAGTGGTTTCATTGCTCGCCTTGCTTGTAGCGTCATCCAGGATAGGTCTGGGAAGATCTGCACCGGCGATCCGTGCAACAGGAGGGGTTGGGTGGTTTGGCGGATTTCCTGAGGATATCCTTTTTGAGGGTATATTAGTGTGGCTGACATATTACATCTCTGGGTGCGTCGGCTATGAGGTTTCTAGGCCTCAACGTTCTGTGTGCCCTATCCAATATAATTGGCGCTGTCACTTCTCGTTGAAGTATAAGATTAAACAATTCTTGAAGAGTGGCTGCAATGTCCTCTCCCTCCATTTCTGGGAGACCTTTGATTCTCAGATTGTTTCTGCGCCCTCTATTATCTAGATCATAAAGCGCTCTGTACAGTGCTTTCATTTGGGAATTATGGGCTGCTACTGTGCTTTGCAGGCTTTGTAGCTGTGTGGCTATATAATCTTGATAATTTTGCAGGGAGTTAACCCTTTCACTGACCTGCTTGACTTCTGAGGAAATGTCATCCATTTTCTTTTGGAATGTCACTTCCAGTTTTTGAAGCATGTTGTATAGATGATAGGAAATAAAACATAGTGCAAATATTGTTTTATACTATAAAATAATATAATGATTTTTATGCACTCACAAATTCCAAATTGATAAAGCGTTTAATGGGTGCCTCCCCACGATGTAGATGGGGGGTTGTAAATGTCCCTCCTTGAGTGATAGCCGATGGGGTATCAGGGTCAGCAAGATGATCCAACAAACTCCAACCAGATGAATACTTCAAAGGCAATTTATTCACTCATCAGGAATCAAATAGAACAATAAAAACAAATGCAAAAAGGCCACCGGTCCTACGCGTTATTGTATATTTAATTGCTGTTTTTATTGACAAAGTCCTTTTGTATTTTGTGTAGGATCGGTGGCCTTTTCGGTGGCGCCGGTTTTAGTTCCAGTCTGTTTGCGGATTGCCCGTTTTCGCGATTGGAGCTTAGCTAGCAGGCGTCCATTTCTCCTTATCTTTCATTAGACTCATTAAATTAAATTAATGATGAATATATGGGAAGCAGCGGAAAAATACAGGAGGGCACATATCACAGAGGTATCTAGGCTTTAACACCGAAAATACTAGAGACCATGTAAACCAGTGGTTCTCAAACCAGTCGTCATGGCCCACCAATAGTCCAGGATTTATGTATTTTCCTGTTTTATTCCAATGGAAATACTAACAAAACCTGGACTGTTGGTGGGTCTTGAGGACTGGTTTAAGAAACGCTGATGTAAACATCATTTTGTAGAATGCATCGTTAAACCACATAATTCAGAGATCATAGTTGTCAATGTCATGCTCAGAGTTCTGGTCATACAAAGTGTATATTAAGTGTAGCTCCACTTGCACAAACATTTGGGCTCATGGGAATTAATTAAATATATGTATTGCTTAAACAATAATAATTCAAAACTGTCATATTTGCAAAGCAGAATAGTTGATCAACTAAGCCTGCCATACTATTAAAAGCATTGCTTTGTTTATGAAACATCTAATGTCAAACTAATAAGCTCACCCAGTGTCCTGACAAGCCAACTGAAATGTAAAAATGAATGTATCAAGATACTTTTATAGAAGCAAAATGTTACGTGTAGAAATGTTAACTCAAAATTTACAAAACAATTTATTCTATCATAACTACCTTTTTTATTATTAGACATGTACATTAAATTCCACTTTTCTTGTATGCTTGCATGCCCCACACTTCCATTAAATTCTCTGAAATAGTATAGATAAAAGCCATCCTGTTGTCTTAAATCCCATTAGGAAACCCATTTCCCTTCATTTTCTTAATCTGATCACACTGCCTAAATTAGGTAATTGTCAACTAATCACCGCGGTAGGGGACATCCAGTTGCTAATGCAATAATTTTCTGATGATATGCTTTTTCTCCATTTGTTAGGGCTTGGAAAACAAGTTCCTACTATGTGTTAACAACAAGTAATTATATTAGGGATGAAATATGACCCAAACTACTGGCAGTGTATTTATCTAGATGTATTGATGAATGAACCTTGTGCAAAAAACTAAATTACATGGAAGGATTTCTGGGAGGAGCCTTATTTTACATCCATAGCTTTAACTCTAAGTAATAAAAAATTAACTGCTTTCTCCTGTCATATTTATATTTATTTAAAAAGATATATCTATACCTGTCACTCACTATATTTGTGATAACATAGAAGTTAAATTTTAATTTAGAAAGGCACAATGCTAGTCTACATTCAAGAGGCAATTTGTTCCTTATATCATTAGGCCACCTTGTTTTTAATGGGGTTAGAATCTTATACTTTTCAGTTCTTGACAGTAACATATTACTTCATAAACTGATTGGCTATTGGAACATCGCAAGAACAGGTTTGCCTAATTAATTAACAAAACATTCTAATATTTGATATACAAACGTGTATTTTTAATATTAGAGTGTTTTTCTATTTAGATTATTGTGCCAGTTTGAAAAGATTTACTTAACTTATAACCCACCCTATACCTATAAAAAGAGATATTCAAATGATGCTGACAAGGTGTCCAAGTTAAACCTCCACCTCATCTCGCAGCAGCTCTAGGACTCCAGGTTGCCGCCTCTCCAGTGATTTCTAATCACCTGTATACCACAAAATTGGAGTCATGTAGGGTCTTCATCGTGGACATTTAAAAAAATGAAGATAAACATTGTGATTTAAAAAACCTCTCCTTATATTATAAATATTCTCACATACCCTTGTTTTTAAGCATCTTGATATTGTAATCCACAAGTGCACGTGAGCAAGTATATCACATTTTTAGTATTTCTATATGTATTTAAAATTATTTTCATTGTTGGGTACATCTACATAACTTGAGATAAGTATCTGTCTAAGATTTTTAGCTCCTCTAAAGACAATTTTTGTTTTTTCCTCTATAAATGGCATGATTTCTTGGTTTAAGATATGACAGTTTTTATTCAAAATCTTTTTTAAATGTCTTTGATCCTTACTACAAATAAAAATCAGAGGTATTATTTAATTTCTCCTCTTATACTTTTAGATTTATATACAAGTAGAGAATCGCTATCTAATTCTCACATTTTTTGGATTTCTCCATCTAGCTGGTCTGTATAATAACCATGATCTAAAAACTGATTTTTTTAAAAGTTCTGCCTGGTTATTAAATGAATCAAGATCCGTACAATTACATCTTAAACAAAAAAACTAACCTTTAGGGATGTTATCCAACCAGGGTTGAAAATGACAACTCTCTTTGTCGATGTAACTATTTACATCCACTTTTTTGAAGAAAGTGCGTGTGTTAATTCTGTTATCTTTTATATAAATTTATAGGCCTGGAAAGGTAATGTTTACTCTACTAATTTATTGGGTTAAATTAATGTTCCACTGATTTGAATTTAAAATATTTAAGAGTCTAAAACAGAAGCCTCATCTACCTTCCATATTAAAAAGATTTCATCAATATATCTCTTATTGAGGACCAGGTTCACACTCCAGCCATGGTTGGAGAAAACTAAATTGTTTTCCCAATGTGACATAAATAAATAAACATAGTTGGGTATAAACCTGGTCCCCATATCACTCCCTCTACATTGTAAAAAATAATCCCCCTCGAACCAGAAGAAATTATTCCCAAGGATAAAAAGAATTCCCTCCATAATAAAATCCACCTGTTCCACAGGGTACAACGCTGAGGTTTCCAGAAAAAAACATGTAGAATCACATCCTAACAGGTGATCTATACATGTATAGAGGCGAGTTACATCGCAGGTGACAAGTAAAAAGTCATTCTCCCGTTTAAAATCTATAAGTGTTTGTAGTAAGCTCATGGAGTCCTTAAGATAGGATGGCCTCGTCTTTACTATTGGATGAAGGTGTGTATCTACATATTTAGATAAATTAGAAAGAAGGGATCCGACTCAAGAGACTATAGGTCTCCCTGGAGGGGTTAAGTGCATCTTTATGTAGTTTTGCTAGTACATATATAACGGGTATTTTTGGGAATCTAACATTAAGAAAGGAATATTTTGACTGAGTCAGAATTACCTTGACTAACCCTCTATCTAGATATTGCATATATTGTTTTTTTATTTCATTTTAGGGATTATTTTCCAATTTTTTATATGTATTTATACGACTTACTTGATGGTGAATCTACATAATATATTTATCTCTATCCATTAGTACAACTCCTCCCCCTTTATCTGCCGGTTTAATTATTATTTGGGAATCTTTTCTCAAATTATCCATTGCCATTTTTTCTAATCTAGTTAGATTATTTATTTTATGTGTTTTTATCTGTTTAATATCTTTGATACACACCCTTTTAAAAAACTTTCATACAATTAGATTTTGAATGAATGGGATAAAAGGAGGATGGATGTTTGAGATTAGTATGAATAAAATAATTTTTTATTGTATTCTGATTTTCTTTAGTAATTAATTTTCTATTAAACTTTTTTTATATCTGTATATGCCTCAAATGTATCCATTATACAACTAGGTGTGAATTTAAAACCTTAATTAAAATACTAGTTTCAGCAGGATTTCAGTTTTTTTTTTGGCCTTTCTTTTACCTGAGGAAAGGGGGTAGAATACGAATTTTTGTTACAATCAGTTAGATTTGATTTTGATTTTTTTCTGATTATTAGTAAATCTAGGTATTTTCCCAACATTTTTAGTGGCATGATTATTCACATCTCTTTGATGTTTCTTTTTTTTTTATTTAGAATGATAGATGTTTCAAGTTTATCTAATCTCCACATAATTTGGTTGGATATAGATACGAAATCATTGGTTCCAAAAAATGGTTCGAATTTATTTTATATTTCATTGATAATTTTATCTAAAGCCTCTAGATTCCTAGTTCTCTGATCTACTACAATTTGCATCATCATGATAGAGAATGATTCAAGAGCTCCTTCCCATATTTCAATATGTCTTTTATCATTTCTATCAAAAGTGGGATATTTTCTGAATCTCAGACCTCGTGGTGTTATCTGGACTTTTAAATCTTTTCCATCACCTCGATCCCCTCTTTTTCCAGGTAAGTATCAAGCGATATCAAATTAGGTAGGTAAAGAATTTTACTGGAAACTAAAAATAGGTATATAAAATACAACAGCAAAGCAAGCTGTAAATAACAACAAAAGAAAGTCCGCTAACGCTAACTCCTGACCCCTATTGGGTCTTTTTCAAAGTGCATTTTCCTCTCCACTTGATGCCGGTTTATAAACCCTGTATCCAGGAAATTGACTTTCACGCCGTCTGGCGCTCTGGGGTCACTTCCGCATTCGTGCATCATTGTGGAGAACCGTCAAGGCGTCATGGCGTCCTGACGTGATACGTAATGACGAAATCGAGTTGCGATATTGGAAGGCCAGAAAACACCATAATAGTATCGGGCGAATTAGTTTATATTATAATAGTTCACTTAGAAATATAGGCTGGACTGTAAAAGGACGTAAAAATAGAAGACAAATATATAAAATTTAACAACATAAGCTAAAAGCATTTTACACAGAAAAAACTGTATATAATTTGAAATATATATGACATATTCAAATTCATAATAAAAGGAGACCAGATGCACAAAGAAATATAATTGGATCTAATATAAATTGTATATAAAAATTGTATATTAAAGCATATATATAGCAAACATTATATGTAACAACGATCTATAAAATAGATGTATAAAATATTCAATAAATATATATTTTTTTAAAATGAAATTAAAAATGTATAATAAAAAACATATAAAAAGAGATATTCAAATGAGTGCTGACATTTCTCCACCGTGGACATTTAAAAAATGAAGAGAAACGTGATTTAAAAAAAACCCTCTCCTTATATCATAAATATGCTCACATACCCTTGTTTTTGTAAGCATCTTGATGTCTTACCAACATATTGTAATCCACAAGGGCATGTGAACAAGTAGATCACATTTTTAGAATGACGTGATTAAAGTGTAAATGTTGTACAGTTTTAATCTGGTCCAGGATTTAAAAATCTATTTTTTTATTTTTCCAATTTTTACATCCCATGCAGTCATGACAAAAATAAAATCCTTTATTAGTATTTCTATATGTATTAAAAAATATATTTTTGGGTACATCTACATTACTTGAGATAAGTATCTGTCTAAGACTTTTAGCTCCTCTAAGGACAATTTTTGGTTTTCCCTCTATAAATTCAATGATTTCTTGACCTTGCTGTAAGCTATGCCAGTTTTTATTCAAAATCTTTTTTGATTGTCTATGATCAATTGAGTTTTTACCTGCACTGGGTAAGACAATTATTATGGATTATTTACAGTACTTATGTTTACAATAAAAGCAATTATAATACACTCTATGCTATCTTGATAAGGACCGAGAGGTCGAAATGTTGATCTTTTTTTGCCTCCTCCTACTCATCCCGGCTTTTGGTTGCTACATTTTCTCTAGTTGCAAGAATCCCCAAGGACAGGTCTCTCCTCCCCACACAGGCCCTTCTCACCACCTGTATCGGAACCAGCCAACATTTTAGCACCACCTGTATTCCCCAGCTTCCAGGGTCCTGCATTTGCTCAGCCAATCATGAGTCAGCAGAGCCAGGCTATTACACACAAGGGGGGCATTCAACCGTTGAATGGCACTTACACACATCCTGCTCATTCTATTCAGTTTAGCGAACCAATTCAATTTGCACATCATGCCACTTACTCTTCTAAGTATTTCTCCACGTTCGCTCAAATTCGATCATTTCAGTTGCATGAACTCACTGCAATTCGTTCAATAACTGTAGACTACCCCCTAGTGGCCGGCTACAGTTTGTTCTCTATAACATGTAGAAATTATTTTAAATATGGGACATCTCCTGTTATTATTGTTCTCTGATAATTTCATGTAAAGTTGCTACCCACAGTTTCGGTCCCACTCAACAGTATGTCATTTATTAATTGTCTATGCTCTTACACAGTATTTTCAAGTAAAGTTATGCTTGTCTTTATCCTAATGCAGTGGATTAGCCTTTCTAATTGTCATTTACTCATACACCTAGAATATTTAGACCATGCAACTGTAATTTATATTGTATACTTGTCTTCTCGTGATAGTTAACCTACTACAACAGCAAATTGTTCCTCATCATTCCGACAAGGGTCTTTATTTCACCTCCACTTCATTCATTCAATTTAAACCTTCCATAATTCCTCCATATCAGCGGGTACGTATTAGTATGTTTTATATTTTTATCTAGTACACTATGCTGTACCATAAACTACTACCTCAACTCCTAAATACAAACTCCTCTATTACAACGCCCTCTCATTTTATGTTCTGCTTACCACTGCTATATTCATCATATGCTGCAATATTTTATCACCCATTCATTTGGCCTTCTATTTCCCATTCCATAGAAGCCTTTAGCCTGCATGAGTGGCATCATTACACCTCTAACAGTCTACATACTTAGTTCACATTACTTTCATGTATATCAACGGTGGTACTACACTTAATTCACCAGACCACAGACCTCACGCTCAGGGATCCTTAACTCCCCTACACTCCTTTCCGCTACAACTACATTCCTACCTCACTCTCATATTCCCTGATTAATCTAGTTCATATCCACGCATACGTCTCTTCTCTAAATGTAGCCAGGCAACCCATCTATTCTAATTTACTATTTATGTATTTAACTATTTCCAGTTTTAGGTTTTCCTCCCAAAGCTGTCTCCATTCCAAAGTGCAAGAACGTACAGCAGAATATACACATTCTACCATATATACAGGTATTAACTGAATTCACGAGTCCTTTATAGATGTACCAGCATTTACACAGTTTTCATTAACTTCCTTTAGGAGTTAAGGTCACACAGGTTCTAGAAAAGACAAGGTACCGATTGACTACCCCTTATTATTATATGTTAGTTTTATCTCACAGTATGTTTATTTCCCAGTCCGGTTCTGTCTTTTACCTCACAGATTCTTTTCTTAGATTCATCAGTATGTCATCCCTCTGACTCCAAGACACAATTTGCCAAGAAGGAAAGTATGTGTGGATATGAACTATATTAATCAGGGAATATGAGAGTGAGGTAGGAATGTAATTGTAGCAGAAAGGAGTGAAGGGGAGTTAAGGATCCCTGAGCGTGAGGTCTGTGGCCTGGTGAATTAAGTGTAGTACCAGCATTGATATACATGAAAGTAATGGACTCCAAGACACAATTTGCCTTACAGACCAGGTACATTATTTTCAACATGGTACTTAATGTGTTCATCCTCTCCCCGACTTACATAGCGTTAGGTCAACTGGCTTTAAGGTTGTTGGCACTGGCCTTAGTTTAATTATAAAGTAATTATTCCCGCAAGCCCAACTCCCATCCTCAAATGGAAGTATATGCCCTTTGGCCCAATGCATACTTACTGCCTTGCATCAACCTCTTCAGATTACCAATTAGGTCCTCACCAGTCATGGCCACTTTGTGGTCATTGGGAGGCCAATGTTCCTGCCACATCATTCAATTGCCTCTGTCTAATGGTCCAAATTGTAGAAATATTAATGACACTTGGCATGAAAAAGGCCTCATCTTCCCTTGGTCCGGATCAAGCCCCCCACGAGCCAGCAAAGCTTAACTTTACTATTGTTAGCAAATTCCTGAACCCCCAAGCCAGGTACCATCTATCAAGCTGGAAACAATGATAATCTGTCTGTAATTAGAAATATGATGTCCACTATCCTTCCCTCCAATAACACCATTAATGTCCGACTAGATAAGCTGGAATCTCCCCACCTACTGACCCCTAGCCCACCCACGGGGCTCCTCACCTGCTCTACTTCTCACAGTAATGTTATTAGTTCCAACCCTACATCTAGCACGCCAACTCATGTTATCACTCCTGCTCACTTAGTTTCCCTGAGCATACGAAGGACATCCTGGAGGTCAAGGATGTAAACTTGGTTTCTTTGCTAATTGTCTCTCAGGATGTTATTGAAAACAAAGCTTACTGCTATGGTGATCTATCTGTCATTTTGAAAGCCAGAGATCCCAGACTTAACAGGAAACTCACTATTCCTGAATTTGTCCTCGTATTTGGACTTTACTGAGATGTAATTGGCTCCACTTCCCCTCACCATAGGGAAGAACTGGATCTATACTTGCATTAGTTGGTGGACCTGGGGCACAAGTACAGTGGATTTACTTTCTTTGACTATCACAAGTCTTTTTCTGTCAAGGCAGCAGCATCCCTTGCCCAATTTAACACTCACACAAACTGGAGTCATCTTGATACAGAGTTATTCTGTTGTCATTTCACTGGTGTTAAACTGCCGTTTTGTGCTGCATGCGCTTCCAACACCCATACCACCAAGCTGTGTTCCATAGATCCTAGTTTGCCTAACACTAGTCATACTTCCCTCGGTTCTTCCACTGCTAAACACAGAGGCCTTAAATACAAATTGGCCAGGCCTATAGTGTTTCTGGGCAAAGCTCAAATCTGCAACAACTTCAACTCTGGCTGTTACGTATTTAGCTTTTTCGCAAAAGGCACGTGTACTAGGTTGTATCTTCAGTCCTTACTGGGCAATGAGAATCATTCCACAGGGCTGTGCTTTTATTTTCCAACTGCTATGCCTTCTTCCAGTCCTGCCTACTGATAATAGTACCATGTCATAAGGATTTCACACCAAAGCTGAACTTACTATATGGCTCAACTACCTGTTCATTCGTCCCCTTTCAGATGATTCTTCAGTAATTTGGACAGATTCTGCTGCCAACTTGGTTTTTAGTGACTCCTGGTTCCATGACTCATGGCCAGTTGAGACCCTTTATATACCCTCATTTAATACAACCTCACCATTGTTTGAAGTTTACCAAATTGTGGCCGCCACCAAGGCCTGGGGATACCTTTTAAAGGGCAAAGCATTAAAGTGCTTTTCTGACAATAAAGAAGCTTGCAACATCATTAATAAAGGTCGATCCTCATCTCTCACAATCAAGAGAATGATTAGGAAACTCACATGGATTGCAGCTACACTACAATTTCACATTGTTTGTATACACATTCCTGGCCGCATTAATACTGCTGCTGCTGCTTTGTATTATTCTCATTTTCAGGAATTCTGTAGAGCTCATCAGCAGCCAACAAATTCCCTCATTCCAATACCTTATCCTGGATTGACTCGTCTTATGGCACATGGCAAATTTCTAGTGAGCTCTTCTCTCTCAGCTAATACTGCACATTATTACAAAAGAGCTCTCGGTATTTTCACCAAAAATTACTAGAATTAATGACCGAGGCTAGGCTAAAGGATTCTTTTTCCTCACATCCTTCCCAAAAGAAGAATTTGCTTTCCTCGAAACAGATAACATAAAAAAATAACTTTGAGGGACCTGCCTGACAACCCAAGCAGACAGTCCAGATCATTTATTTTGCAAGCCTTACATTTAACCCTATAACTTTCTAAAACATCATAAAACCTGTACTTGGGGGCACTGTTGTACTCGTGAGACTTTGCTGAACATAAATATGAATGTTTTAAAACTTTACTTTGGCCAGGGTTTGTGACTAAGTGGCTGTTAAAAAGGACTGGACATAACCCATTTTGAATACCTAGGGCTGTCTACTTTGGCAAATGGTATGCCATGCAATTCTCATTTCTGGGCTTCCATACAGTCTCAAAGGCGACATAGGCCCAAACCGAACTGGCAAACTGAAATGGGAAAGCACTATATTTGACCCTGTTACTTTCCAAAACAATATGAAACCTGTACACATGTCTTACTCGTGAGACATCACTGAACACAAATATATGTATTTTATTGTAATAAAAGCTAACAATATTGTGACAGTCACAGTTAGAATGTCACGCAGAACTTGAAAAATGACATTTCCTAGGTTCTCAAACAATTTTTAGGTTTTATTTATATAAAATTATGCTTCATATATAAATATTTGACATGAAATGGAGACCATGTTTCTCCGGAACCATAATTTAACTCATTATATTAAGTGCACCCACACTTATTATGTATCATTTTGTTCAGGAGAAACTGGACTTTCATTGCATCAAATATTTATATTTGAAGCATAATTTAATATGAATAAAATTAAAATAACCTTTTCAAGTTCTGCATGGCATTTTACCTGTGAATGTCATACTACTGTTAATTTTTGCTGCAATAAAATACACATATTTGTTTTCAGCAATGACTTACGAGTAAAACAGTACCCCCATGTACAGGTTTTATGAAGTATTGGAAAGTTACAGGGTAAAATATAGGGCATTCCCCTTTTTCATTTTTACACATTGAAATTTGCAAGATTGGTTTACTGGATATATCCTCTTTTGAGATCGTATGGCTGCCCATAAACGAAAATGAACCCCATCGTGGCATACCATTTGCAAATGTAGACAACCCAGGGTATTCAAAATAAGGTATGTATAGTGTTTTTTTAGTAGTTAATTAGTCACAAACCTTGGCCAAAGTTATCGTTCATTTTTGTTTTTTGCCTTTTTCACAAAAAAACAGCATATTCATTGATTATATTATCGTCATTATTCTACTGCTCTAAAACACTCATATTTGTGTTCAATGATGTCTGATGAGTAAAACAGTACCCCGCATGTACAGGTTTTATGGGGTTTTGGAAAGTTACAGGGTCATATATAGGGCTTGCCTATTTCATTTTTTACACATTGAAATTTGCCACATTGGTTATGGTGCCTTTGAGACTGTATGGCAGCCCAGGAATGAGAAATACCTCTGTCATGGCAGACCATTTGTAAAAGTAGAGAACCCAAGGTATTCAAAATGGGGTATGTCTAGAGTTGAGCGAACCCGTACTGTAAAGTTCGGGTTCGTACCAAACATTAGGTTTTTGGACCCCAGACCCGAACACGAACATATCACTGTATGTTCGGGTTGGAGTACAGTGTTCGGCGATTTAATGGCTGTGATTGGCCAGTGCAGCATGTGACCCAGCCTCTATATATAAGCTGGAGTCGCGTAGCGCCGCACGCACATACGGTCTTATTAATGTAGGGAGAGGATGCTGCCTCTGATAGGGTCAGCTTAGGAAAGAATTCTGCAAACTAATATATTAGTGGGGTGGGGTGCACTTCATATCCGAGAGTCAAATAGAAGCTTCAAATACCGCGGTTACATCAGTGTTTTAAAAAGTCAATTTTTTTGGTGCTAAATAGTACATTAGAGGGGTGCACTTCATATCTGAGAGTCAAATAGGATCGTCAAATACTGCTATCACATTGCAGTTTTAAAACTTAAAATTTTTTGGGTGCTAAAAAGTACATTAATGGGGTGCACTTCATATCTGAGAGTCAAATAGAAGCATCAAATACTGCTGTCACATTGCAGTTTTAAAACTTAAAATGTTTTGGGTGCTAAATAGTATTTTAGTGGGGTGCACTTCATATCTGAGAGTCAAATAGAAGCGTCAAATACTGCTGTCACATTGCAGTTTTAAAACTTAAAATGTTTTGGGTGCTAAATAGTATTTTAGTGGGGTGCACTTCATATCTGAGAGTCAAATAGAAGCGTCAAATACTGCTGTCACATTGCAGTTTTAAAACTTAAAATGTTTTGGGTGCTAAATAGTATTTTAGTGGGGTGCACTTCATATCTGAGAGTCAAATAGAAGCATCTAATAGTGTGCTTACAGCGCAGTGGTAAAAATTCCTACTTTCTAGGTGTTAATATGCTAAATAGTACATTTTGTGGCCTGTTCTTAATATCTGAGAGTCAAACAGAAGCGTCTAATAGTGTGCTTACAGCACAGTTGTAAACATTCTAATTGTTTTGCTGCTAATCTGCTCAATAGTACATTTTGGGGCCTGCGGTGCACTTCATATCTGAGAGTCAAATAAGCGTCTAATAGTGTGCTTGCAGCGCAGTGGTAAACATTCTTGTTTTCTGGGTGTTAATCTGCATTTCTCCATGCCTTACCCGTGGTCACCATGGTTGGTGCAGAAACTGGCATTGAAAGTTGATATAAATGACATCCGCATGCAAAGTCGCCGCCAGGGATGTGCGATTGGCCGAGTTCACCACAGGCGCCAAATGGTTCTTTTTTGTATGTCCCAATATTTTGTGGGCTACTACAATTAAAAAAAAAAAAAAACATAAAAAACAGTGTTGGCTACCTCCTCCTCCACCGCCGCTTCCACCTACACCACCTCCTCAACCTCTGGGTCACTTAGTATAAACTATGTACACAATAGCAGAGGCTTGTAAAGGCCTTTCCTCCATGCATCAGGAGTTGAGCTCAGTTTGAACAATGAAAAAGAATACCCTGGGGGCGTGGCTTGGACGCGGGAGTGAATGGCCGCATGAACGCAGAGCTCCGCTCGAGACTGGCCTGAATAACTAGAATCCCGGCAATTTTACAGACATGGCGACCAAAAGACTGAAGGCACAAGCAGGCAACACTCCCTCCTCTAACCTCTCATCCTCCAAAACGTCCCTGAGGAGATTCTTCGCGGAGAAACAGGAGATAGACATGCGGTCCAAAATGGCCGCGGCTGAGAAATCTCCCGCGAGCAGCGCTCCTGCCAGCCCTGCTCCCTCAGACAGCTCCACAGAGGGAACAGATATAAAAACTATTCTGACCCAGCTGCATTCCAAACTGGACCTCGAAGCCATGTTCTCCAAAATGGAAAGGAGCTTTGGCGACAAGCTGCAATCTCTACATGAGGAGGTAAGCCACATTGGCAATAGAGTGCAAATGCTGGAAGAGGGGGGGGGGAACAACAGCCCTGCAAATACACAACATGCAAACTCTCCAGCAAACCCAGAATGAAGCCCTAATATTCCTACAAAGGAAAATAGAGGACCTTGACAATAGGGGGAGGCGCAATAACCTCAGAATTAGAGGCATCCCTGAGGCCCCTGAAGGAACAAATGAAAATATAACACAAATCCTCACAAATCTTTTTAATCAGCTTCTGGGCAGACCGCTAGACATCCCCATCAAGTTGGATCGCGCTCACAGAGCAATACGGCCGAAAGCGTTGGCGATTGTGAGACACCAAGGGACATCATTTGCAGGCTCCATCATTTTCCCATTAAAGAGATGATTCTTCAAAAAGCCAAGCAAATCAGAGACATTGCATTTACCGACTACAAAGTGCAGATATTCCAGGACCTGGCGCAATCCAGACTTATAGCGAGAAGAGCAGTGCGCCCGATCACAAAAGCACTCTCGGACCGCAACATATGGTTCCGCTGGGCACACCCCTTTGCCTTGGTGGTGAATCGCCAAGGGAAGACACACTCAATATCTACTCCAGTGGATGTCTTGACGTTCCGACGCGGTGGAAGATTGGACTGGTCTCTACATGGAACAGGACGGGCAACTACCCCAGAGGGCCAAATGGCAACACAGCCCCAGGAAGCGAGGGAGACAGACCCCCTCGGGAAATTAACTGCCCTCGACACCAAAAGGCACTGCCACGAGACCGACCTAAAAGACTCGATATATCCTTTCACTCTGATAAAATTGCTTAAGTCACAGAGGCGCTTGCCACAACTAACGCCTAGTTAATGCCATGTTCATATATATACATGTTCCTATATATCTACTGTTTAATGTGTAACCTACTGCCAAAGTTCCACGTGGCTGGGGCCCAGACAACCAGAGGGCATCCAGGACCCTGGACACGCTGGAACTGGGACTCGATCAATACATATGTCATGATAAGATATAAGCGATGTTAATATAAGCTAATGCAAGATTGCTAATGATACCTGAATTATGTATATCACACGCGCAGATGGCCTAGAGTCTCGACGGGTCTAGACCACACAACCCCCCAAGAGGTGCCACAAAGAGCACGCGGGATCCATATGATCCACAGCAGGCTTGACACCATCTGGTTGCAGCATGCACGCTGCATACACACTGTCTATAGTTTCTCTGGTTTATGTTTCTTCCCCAAACCCCTCCCCCCCATTGAGTATAGGTCCTCATCACATCATTTAAGCCTGAGAAGCTTCCACCCGTGGCTGTTTTATGATGGATAATCTTAAACTCATGTCCCTGAATGTAAGGGGACTTAACACGCCCGAAAAACGCATAATCCTAGCGCATGAACTAGACAGACAGCAGATGGATATAGTATTCCTCCAGGAAACCCATTTTAGAGGAGATCAGACCCCCTTATTAAAAACTAAATCGATGGGACAATCGTACTTTAGCAATTATCATGGAGGCAAATCTAGAGGGGTCGCTATTCTACTATCATCCAGAAGAGCATTCATGCTCCAAGACAGCAAACTAGACCCACAGGGAAGGTATATTTTCCTCAAAGGCAAGATCAACAATACCCTCATTACCCTAGTGAATGTTTATGCGCCCAACAACAGACAGGTCCCATTCATCAAATCATGCCTCAGAAAACTAGAGAACTTTGCAGAGGGGTTAGTGGTGTTAGGGGGTGACTGGAACATAGTCTTAGATCACTCAATGGACAGCACTGCAACAGGTAAAGACACATTAGCACACCAACGTCTGCTATTCCAAAAAGCGCTGCATGCTAACCAACTAGTCGACTGCTGGAGGATTGCCCATCTCCAGCAAAGGGATTACACATACTTCTCCCAGGTAGCCCATAGTTATTCTAGACTGGATATGTTCTTGATAGGACACAAGCACCTGCACGCATTAGCCTCCTTGTCCTTGGGACCGATCACATGGTCGGACCATGCCCCAATATTCCTTACGTTGTCTCTAGACGAGAAGAGTGCCGTAAGCAACTCGTGGCGCTTAAATGAATCACTACTAGATGAACCCAGGGTAACAGAAGACCTGACCAACGAATTGCCCAGGTACTTTCACGAAAATGAAGGTAAAGGCACAGCAGAAACATGGGTATGGGAAGCACACAAAGGTATAACCCGAGGGACCCTGATTAAGTGGGGAGTTTGCATAAAACAGGAATGAGTGGCACGAATCCGATCCCTAACTGAAGCCATATCCATAGAAGAATCTGCCCACAAGGCTACCCCCACACCCGACGCATACAAAACATTAACAGCATTGAGAATGGAACTGCGAAACCTCCTTACAGCGAAAGCCCATAGGGCAGCCCAGCTGACTAAGGGGACGTACTATGCTCACGGCAATAAAAGTGGGAAATATCTGTCCAGGGCTCTAAAGGACAAACACCAAAAGACATACATTTCCCACATCACCACGAAAGGTGGAATACGCCAAGACGCGACAGAGGACATAGCCAAAACCTTTCAAGACTACTGCAGCGACCTCTACAACTTGGGACACCCACTGAACTCACAACATAATACGGCAGCATACATCTCGGCCCACACTCACAAGAAACTAGACCCACAACAAACAGCCCACTTAGAATCACCTATCCAACCTGAGGAACTCCGGATAGCAATACAGACCCTCCATAAAGGCAAAAGCCCAGGTCCAGATGGCCTTACGGCCAGATGCTATCAGGCCTTCCATACCTCATTCCCTCATTTCTCTTCTGTACCCCCATTTTTATGACAAAAACCAATAAAACTGGAATTAAACAAGAAAAAGAATACCCTGCACTCCAACCCTCTCTCAAATGGATAATTCTGTTGATCCTCCTGACAGCCATGCTTTAGATTTTGATTTATGTTCTTCCAAAGCTAAAATCAAAGATTCCATCTAGTGCTATTTTATGGCTCAGCTGTATTTTTAATTTGTATGTTATTTTTAGTGAATTCCCTATCCACATTTGTTTGCAGGGCAGTTGTCCAACTCTTACCTGCTTTTTCCTTGCTTTTGCAGCTCTCTAGCTCTTTCCAGGAGTTTTTTAGAGGCATTTTTGTGGCCAAAAGTTTGGGTCCCCACTGGCTTCAATGGAGTTCAGGTTCGGAGTCAAGGTCGGGGTCAAGTTCGAGCCCGAACCCGCCGGACCCGAACATCCAGGTGTCCGCTCAACTCTAGGTATGTCCAGTCTTTTTTAGTAGCCACTTAGTCACAGGGTTTGGGAAGCAAAAACTTACCATAACAGGTTAAAAGTCCCCAACACTTTATGTTGCATTTGTGGAATGTCAAGAAAAGATATCTTTTGTATCTCCACATTGTCAGATAACCTGTCCAAAGTGCTGTAATAAATCATTCTGACTGTTTCTGCCCACGTGCTGCCCTCACACAGGGTCTGCTTCTCCATCCATCCTTCCCCTTGCAGGCCTTGCTTTAGGTTATACTGAAATCACACAGGAGAGTTGCCCAGTGTTAGGTTTGCCTAACTAGCGACATGCAGAGAGCATCCTTCTTATCTCTGTGCAAATTGGCACAGAATTAACCAACTGACATGAGGGCATAAGGTATTTTTGTTAATGTCTGATTTCAGAAAAATCTCAACATTTGTTACCAAGCGACTCGCACAATGTATAGATGGAATTTGATTCTCATTTAAGAAGTTGTATTTTGTCATGACAAACAGAATACAATAATTGTTTTATGTATATATCACATGGAATAAAATGGCAAGAAGAAACCACAGCATAATTTATTTGTTTCCAAATACAAGCTATAATAAAAAGATTTCCCAGGATTTTCTACTTTGCCCTATAAATTTAAAGTCCACTCATACATTTTAACTCTGCTTATTTAACTTCTATTTAAATGTGCAAATAACATGAATTTCATTATTGTATGTTCCTTTTTATAAATTCTGTTACGGTACCCTCAGCATGAAATGTACAAACCGCCATTTAGTAAATGCTCCCCTTTCGCAATAACATAGGCTGCATGCGTATCCAGTATAATCATGCGAACCGCAAGCAAGGGAACACTGCAAACTCACGAACGGGATCCGTACGGCACTTCACTCCACGAGCTCCAAACTCATGAATCGCCAATATTAGCAGAACGCAGCTATCTCCCAAGCGGCTAATAATCCCATCCAGCAGTCTCTAGTCGTCGGTAATAAATCCCCCTAATAACGAGACCAAGCTCCGCATTGGGGGTAAAACAAGAACTGGCTTTACTGTGGGCTATCTGCCCATATTTATGCAGATCTCCCACCTGGTGGACACTCCCCTAGGGGACCACATGGGAGACTGTGACAATAGACAGACATATGGCAGTTCAGGACCCACAGACACAAAATATTCCCAGCATGCAGTAATAATTCCTCCCCTCTGCCCTGGAGATAATTGAGAAGTAATTCAATTATCTCCAGGACAGAAGCAAATCACCATTTTAAATTCAACACAGAAAAACATATAAAAATATATAACTTTACATTTGTCGAATGTTACCCATTCGTATCACATATCCCCAGACAGCCTGGATCTGAGTGCACATTATTGGCGAATAGCGCTCAGATCCCATATTCACAGTTCAATCGCCATGGAGTCAAAGTCTATTACAGTCTTTAGGTATGTGATTGACTCCATGGGAAGGCTATCTGGGGTAAGTCCATTCGTGCATTTAAACCTCCCGAATGGCCCGTGTTCGCACACTTCTGTCGATTGAGAAGGGAGGTCGGCGGCTTCAGCGGTGTTTGGCTGAAAAAGTGTCAGTTTTCAGTTCCATGAAATCAATGCCGAACACCGCTGGTCTTTCGCATGGTTTAAAATGGCCGCCGCCTCGTGGTCGACATACGAACGACGACCACCCTGTATTCGGTTTTAATTGAGAAGTGTCTGTGGTTAACCGCAGCATTCTAACTGGAATCAATAGGTTAACCAGCAGCACACTTCTCTTCTGGGTGGCCGTCCGTTCGGTAGTTTTGTTCGGCGGAAAAGTTAATTCACGGAACAGGGGCATACGAATGGGTAATTTCGTGAAAAGGCAAAACAGACGAATCCAGCAATCTTAGTCTATACAGATGGATCTGTCACACATTCCCTAAAATTATATGTTGCCAAACAAACCAATTTGCTGAATTCAAACACATCTTAACCCTCACAAGGCTAAGAGATTTTTTAAATTGTTATTTTAGTTGGCACTATTAAGTATAAAATTAAATCTTTGAGTTTTTGGAGATTCATTGAAAGAATTACTATAAGCAGAGAATCCATCCCCTCTGCCCCCAATTTCCTTTACAAAATTTGTATTAGCCTATACTAAACATGTACTATACAATTTATATGCATGAATTTTTATACCATTTGCAATTCATGACTTAAATTGTCAGTGTAGTCAACTTTAGAAATCAATATTAATAAAATACTTCATAACATTTGTCACTCAGATTTTTACACATTTTTTAAGGCTAAAATAGTAATTAGATTAATGATTTTCATCAGCTAGACTTTTATTTCTAATTTATTTACATTGCACATTGTTGAATTAGAAATGTATAATCACATCATGAATAAAACACATATCAAAGAATAAAATATTGAGAAGTAAAAGTTAAATTATAATATGTTTCATTTTTAGTTTGACATTACCTTGCCACATTTCATTCTCTGCAAGAATCGGTTACTTTATAATGTATCTACACTTCATGTATTAGACATATCTGAAATATAAGCTGAAAAATATGATTAAATGACTGCTATCTTCAGTGATCAAAAACCCCAAGGGCCTATTAAATTGATGAAGTTAAAAACGACAACCCTAAGTGCGAGATGTTAGAAAAAATTGTTACGCTGTTGACTAAAGTAGACAGAGTTACTTACAGGGAAGGCTAATCCATTCGACCTGCCAAGGCTGTGTTTCACATTTGATTAAAAACATGCCAGTCTGCTCACATAGAAAAAGCATGCTACACAACAAAATAGACCCACTTTCCAGTGAGTGTTTTCTGCGAACCTGTTGGGGCTTGGCAGTAACATTAATCTTTTCTTTTCCCCTCAACAGTAAATCAACAGCAAGGAAAACATTCTCTTTTCGAAAACCCAGGGGGAGATATCCCTGCTGAGGCAAAATAAAAGAGCTGTGCATAGGAAATAGCATGCTGGCTGATACGTGTTCATCTGTGGCATTTTTACAGAAGGGCAAGAGAATAGTCGGCTGAGCACCATTCACTTTTTATTATAAATATAGAAAATCATATATAAACTCAATTCCTAAAGATATATTAAATATTTGAGATGACAAAATTGTATAATTAAATAAAAAATTATATTTTTTTGTTTATTCGTGATAAATTTTGATGCAAAGAATAACTTATTTTTGCTTTTAGCCAGCCATGTTAGTGTGGGGTGAACTTGTGTAACTATATTGATCCTATTTGTTTTTTAATCTTGTGGCTATGAGTCTATTTTATAATATATATAAAACATAAAACAGGGGAAAATAGCAGGAAGAAACCACACCAGAATTTATGTGTTTCCAAAAACATTCTACAATAAAAAGATAGAATTTCTCAGAATTTTCTACTTTGCCCTATATGTAACCTGTAGAGAATGAAAAACAATATCACTAAATATCTCTAATGCCTTAAGCATTTGTGTACAGTTTTACTCTATATTATACCATCCCCACAAAACCTTTATCTTTTATAAACAGACAGCTATGGAGACATATACAGCCGAATAAGACTTGGAAATGTGTGGATTTTAAGATTCTGGCTTTTGAAGAGAATTTCCTTTCCAACAAATGATTTGCCAGCAGTATTCGTTTGAAGGGGAATTTGACATGTTTTCTGTTAGATATTCTGTTAGGTGCCATATCCAACTGACTTCTTGCTTTTCCAATTTCGTAACCATGTACTAAGAGCGTTCTACTTGTATTTGTTATTGAAAATGGCGATACTGCTTCATTATTAATTTTTATTATTATTATATTAATGCAGTCTCTGAAGCAGGGGAGTCTGGCTTTATTCCTTTGTCAGAAACTTTAAATCATATTCTAGATGAATTATCTAACAATGTTCTAGATAATACAATTAAACTGTATTCTATATTATGCAAAACAATATTGTATATGAGAGAGGCTACATATTAGCATTTTTAAATATGGTTTAAAGGAACACTATGGTGTTAGGAATACAAACGTATTCCTAACTCTATAGTGCTGGAATACATGCTTAGGTCCTCATACCCCTCTCTGTTTAGACAAAAGGTTTTTTACTTACCGTTTTTCCACTGCTGTGCCGGTCTCACAGCGACTGGCCCGCCTTCATGGCTGAGATCATCAGACTTGATGACCTCAGCCAATCCAATATTCTCCCATAGGAAACACATATGGTGTTCAGAATTTTTGGAAGGAGGTATGTAATGGATCTCCCTGTACCTCTGGCTTTGTACCTCCAGCAAGACCACTTCCTAGCTGGAACAGGGGACACACTGCAGCACCTATGTCCCCAGTCGCCGTGGCTTGACTCGGGTCCTGGAACTGCTCCCTCCTGGAGCCAAATGGGGGAACTCGCTCTAGCAACCCCCAGGCACTGGACGGCACTCCATCCTGGGAGCTCTAGTCCTTACAAGGACTAGGATTGACAAGCTCCCGGATGTTCTCTGGTTCGTGCGGCTGTTTGGTTCCCAAACCATATAGTCCAAATACACAAACTGAGACTTTTTCATTGTATATTACAGGGCCCATAGTCTGTGGGCAGGAGGCTGGCAAGCAGGCTCCTCCAGGAGCTCGAAGCAAACTCACGTGAAGCCATCTGTGCTTGATGGGCAGAGGCCAGCGGCTCTCTGCCCTGTAGCCAGCACTTCAGCTTGCGTGGCCTGTTTGTCGCCAGGCCCTGGAACTAATGGGCTGGTAGGGCAGAGGCGAGCTGAGCTCTGCCCTGATGACAGCTCTTCTGCTGGAGGGATGTCAGTAGATGCCGTAGTTCCCTCCACTGCACCCGGAACAGGGTTGGGAATTGGTTGTAGGAGAGAGGAATCAACTACCCCATGTCCCTGGCATGCCCGCTGTGGCTGGGGAGGGATGACACCCTCTTCTCCCAGGTTCTTACCCTGTTCTTGGGGAAGACTGCTGATAACAGCCTCATCTTGGCCGAGATTCTGCAGTTGGGGATCTGGGCAGGCTGTCTTAAACTACAGTGTTGTAGAACTGGAAGTCCAGCGGTGTTCAGGAGTTTCTGTGTCCGTTTTCAGTTCCAAGAACTCAACAACCAAACACTGCTGCCTGCATTCATGGGAACAAGATGGCCGCCACCTCATGATCGTCTATAGGTGTGGCGAAACCGACCTCACCACTGGGCATTGGAGAAGACTGATTGCCAGCCTCCTGCCATGTGACTATGGCCCCTGGGATGTATTGCCCTTTAAAGACATGATTTGGGCATAATGGATTTTTGTTGTGCTGCTGCTGGCCCTTTAAGAACCATCTGGGGACATACTGTGGAGTTACTGGGTGGCCACCATTTCCTGTATCAGAGGCACATGGTGAGAACAATGGATGAAGCATATGGTGAGAACAATGGATGGCGGCCATTTTAACTCACAGACACTGTTTGGACTTTTCAACACGGTGCCATCTCACCAGTATTTGGTGCACAGAGACATCGTGCAGTGGTTTTGGACTATACAGCAGGGGACACATTATACAGTGATTGTTTTTCATTTAGCCTGTATATGTTCTGGAGAATCTGCATTAAACTGTATCTTCCAAAGTACTGAACGGATCTGGGTGAATTTTGGATATGTGGTTCACCCAGATCCTCCGGTTCCAAGGATATATTATGGGGTTATTGCATGTTTTGGGGTCCCTGTGATGTGTTTTATGAAACTGTATTTCTCTGTCTGTGATAATTAGATTACCCATTGTGCAAGGAAATTGTATTACAGGCAGAGGGGAGGACTTTGTGTGGGAGTGTCTGTGTGTATTGTACAGATTGATTGGTTGCTCTGTAAAACCCTGTGGGCAGTACTAAGTTTGTGGATTGGGAATAAATGAGGCTGTATGTGCCAGTACAGTCAGTTCCTGCTTAACCCTCAAAGTGAAGTGTCGTCTCATTATTGGGGGAGGATTTATTGTATGCTGTTCCAGTTTGACTGCTAGGAGTGTAAACATATTCGCATGGTTTTTCCTATTCAAAAAATACAACATTCATATGCTTGAGAGCATTCATATGCTCCTACAGTTCGGTGGTTTTGGTGTCTGCTGCAGTGCTTGGAGTCCTCAGGAAGTGCTAGGAGCATTCCTCAACGGAGGTACCCATTCAGGGTGCCAAGTAATCCGTTACAATAGGAAATATGGTCACCCAGATGAACACTGCAGTAGAAATTGCTGCAAAGTGGTCTCAGGTTCGTGTGGCTGTTCGATTCCCATACCATATAGTCCAAATACACGAACAGAGACTTTTACATTGCATATTACAGGGTCCATAGTTTGTAGGCAGCAGGCAGGCAAGCAGGCTCGTCCAGGAGCTCGTGGCAAACTCACGTGAGAAGGGGAGTTTGTCACAAGGTCTATAAAATTATTTGTTGAACGGTAGACAACCCATCCCCTTTTAGACCTGTGGCATTACATTTGCATCACACTGCTTTACCATTTAAGACATATAAGAGTTTGCTTGATTAATGCTTGCTTGATTATTTCTGCCAAAGCAACAATACTGTATATAGCCGAGCCACTCCATCTCTTCTGGTCTGCTATGGTGTAGGAGATTAGACAATTTGAAAGCGTGTGATTCTAGTACAAACACAGCACTATACTAGAATCAAGCTTTACTGGGTAGATTATATGTTTTCCCTGATGCACAGGCTCTTTTAACTAAGCAGAGGAGACATTCATTTTCCTTTTTCTTCCTTACCTTTTCTCTTTCTTGTACCCCAATCTGGGGTCCTGTTACACCCCCATTTTTGTCTTCTTACACATGGACCGCATAATGGATATTTAAGCTCTACAGTGCTTTAATACACCTAATCAACAGCTACTCACTTACTGTATATAATATCATATTACATATTTTTTTTCATTTTATATATCATTGCTTCTGGATCCTATGCTCTTATCGCTAAAACTCCAGAAATGTGTTACTGCTCATGACCATTTGCATATCGATCTGCTATTTCATGGATGCTGTCTTCTTTTTCCATTTTATTCTCTCAATAAACTTGGATTTATAAACAAAAATGTAGCGTCAAACAACAAAGGTGTTATACATGACTGTCATTAATGAATGTCCATGGCAAAAAAATATCCATTAATGAATCAAGGCCATTTAAAGGACCACTATAATGCCAGGAAAACATACTCATTTTCCTGGCACTATAGTGCCCTGAGGGTGCCCCCACCCTCAGGGTCCCCCTCCCGCCCCGGCTCTGGGGAGAGGAAAGGGTTAAAACGTACCTTTTTCCCAGCGCTGGATGGGGAGCTCTCCTCCTCCTCTCCGCCTCCTCTCCGCCTCCTCTCCGCCTCCTCTCCTCCCCTTCGGCTGAATGCGCACGTGCGGCACGAGCTGCGCGCGCATTCAGCCAGTCTCATAGGAAAGCATTTACAATGCTTTCCTATGGACGCTTGCGTGTTCTCACTGTGATTTTCACAGTGAGAAGCACGCAAGCGCCTCTAGCGGCTGTCAATGAGACAGCCACTAGAGGATTTGGAAGCTGGATTAACCCTATTATAAACATAGTAGTTTCTCTGAAACTGCTATGTTTATTAAAAAAAGGGTTAACCTTACCTGGACCAGGCACCCAGAGCACTTCATTAAGCTGAAGTGGTCCTGGTGCCTAGAGTGGTCCTTTGACAAATCAAAGAATTTGCTGCATCAAATCAAGTACTCTTCCAAGATGACATTTTATTAGGGATCAATTGTTTCCTTTATTCATTGCTTTTCTTCAATAATTTTTTTTTGTTGCCTGTGATAAATATTTTGGCAAGTTAAGTTTGATTCAAATTTGTAAAAGAATTAGCTTTTTATCCTTCATTTTGCAATTTGGTTTTCAGTTCAATAAAATTTGGTGATAGTAAATTAGCTGTCAAATTCCACAAAAAAAGATTCAAATAATTGCAAATATGCATAAAACATTAAAACAAGGCATAGTAAATTAAGGACAAACCCTATCCAATGATGATTTCACATTTTAAGATTAGTAGCATATTTCAAGGAAACTCTAAGCACCAAAACATCTTTAGCTCCTACCACACGTCCCTGGCTGGCAGTGACTTAACAGCCTCCCTACATACTTCCCAAATAATAGGTCTAATGTTTAAATGTCTCTTATTATACAGTGTGTTTACTTTAGAAGTTTGGCTTCTGGTCTGTTAATTGCCATCTAGAGCTGGCTGCAGCCTCATATGTGTGAATCAAAGTCAATGCACAGAGCAAGATATTACTTCTAACGAAAACACACTGTGCTGTAAGATCAGTGTGAAAATGAAATATATCTTTTTTTATGGCGGTTGTCTGAGAAGATCTTAAATTTTTATTACATATGATGGAAGTCCATATCTTCATGATGGGGGATTAGTTTAGGTGGCTAAGCATGCATGTTTATATATTATATTGCTCATAAAGTTGTCTTAGAAACTCCTGTACCGCGGACCGGAGAGGAGCTCGGCCATGGCTACAGGGAAGGGGAGGTGAGGAGGAGAACAAATAGAGGGGGGGGGGGGGGGAACAAATAGGGAGGGGATGAGGGGAGGAGGAGAGAGGGAGGGAGTAGGAGGAAATAAAAGGGAGGTGAGGAGGAGAAAAAATAAGGGGGATGAGTAGGAGAACAAATAGAGGGGGAGGGGTTGAGGAGGAGAACAAATAGGGGGGAGGGGATGTGAGGAAGAGAACAAATAGAGGAGGAGAACAAATAGAGAAGGGTGTATGAGGAGGAGAACAAATAGAGGGTGGGGTGAGGAGGACAACAAATAGAGGGGGAGAGGGGTGAGAAGGAGAACAAATGGAGGGTGAGGAGGAGAACAAACGGGGGTGAGGAGGAGAACAAATAGAGGGAAGGGGAGGTGAGGAGAACAAAGGGGGAAAGCAGAACAGTGGGGTGCAAGGAGAACAAACTAGGGGGGGTGCAAGGAGAACAAATTTGGGGGAGTAAGGAGAACACAGGGAGAGGGGGGAGTAAGGAGAACACATGGAGAGGGGATGTAAGTAGAACACAGGGAGGGCGGGGAGTAAGGAGAACACAGGGAGAGAGGGGAGTAAGGAGAACACAGGGAGAGGTGAGTAGTAAGGAGAACACAGGGAGAGGGGGGAGTAAAAGAGGAGGTGAGGAGAACACAGGGAGGTTGATAGGGGGTGAGAAGAGACCGCTAGGGGAGGGGGGTGAGGAGAGACCACTAAGGGGCAGGGGAAAGCTCTAAGGGACGGAAGGGAGAGCTCTTTCACACTACGCACACACGCACACACACACACACACACAATGCATCTCTACACACACATGCAAACACACACTGATTCTCTTACATACACACACACACACACACACAATGCATCCCTACACACACATGCAAACACACACTGCTTCTCTTACGTATACACAGAAACACAATGCATCTCTTACACACACTCAATGCACCTCTTATACACACACTGCATCCCTTACATACACAGAAACACACCTTGCATCCCTTATTCATACAAACACAGATTCACACAATGCATCCCTTACACACAACCAGAAACACACAATACATCCCTTATACACAAATACACACTGCTTTCTATCCCTTACACAAAAACACACTGCTTCCACTACACATAAACATACTGCACACACATTAGATCCTCTACAATAACACATAATACATCCCCTACACACTCCACTCCTTGTGAGCGAACTCATGGGTGGAACATATAGGTGTACATATGGGTGGGCCTTATGGGCATACTCACCGTCAGGCCCTTGGGCCATGACCTTGAGCTGTGTAAGGGGCCCCAAAAAATGGAGCTGCATCCTGTTCTCCCAGAACATTGAATTTTGCGACCACAGTTACAAACAGCCTCCAGAGATCCTGTTCTACACCAGACCAGTGGAGTCAAACTGAAGCCAGAGCCCATCACCATCCTCATCTGGTTGTAAGTAGGCAATCTAGTATATTATTAGTGACACTAATCTCTAATTTACCTAACATTAAAGGGACACTATATTCCCCAGAACCACTGCAGCTTAATGAAGTGGTTCTGGTGTCTATAGCCTGTCCTGCAGGCTTTTTAATGTAAACACACACTGGCGTTAGTTCATATGGCAGATCATATGGGTGGGGCAAAAATCCTTGCACCAGCCCTGCTTTAGGCCCTTCTCTATGCACTTCTGCGGGTCACGGCCTGATCTAGACATGAATACCAGCACTGTGTTATCAAACTCGGGTGTGAGTGCGACTTTGTCAGGCAGGAGCGAGCGAGGGTATTCTGCCCTGAGTTTGGCCTGTACTTCTCTCTCCAGCGGCTTGGGAAGCCAAAAGTGCACAAACTGTGCAAGGTGGTCTGGGATGGACCACTGCGATAATCTCTGGTGCCTGATGGAATGTGGATCGAACAAGGGTTCCCCCAGGTCGTCCAGGAATACTCCCTCCTCCATGCGCTTAGGCGGTTGGGAGTCCTGCTTTCATAAGTCGTCCCCTAGCTCCGTTTCCTTCACATAGCGGGAGTCCAACTGGGGTAAGTCCTGCCAGTTGTCCCCTTTGGATGCGGACCTCTCCGCCTGCCATTCATCCACCACCACCAACAAACAAGATGGGTAGGAGTCCTCGTCCGAGGAATAGGTTTGGGGGGTTCTGGTTTTTCGGTTCTCCGGCGTTTGACTGGAGCCTTGCCCTTAATTTTAGTCGCTGGGGAAACCGCCCCTTTCCAGTGGCATTTTGGACCACCGGTTACTTGTCTGGTGACCAATCGTCAGTGGGTTGGGGCAGCACATTCATGAGGGCTTTTTCCACTGAGGCGTTGATCAATGCCTGGAGATCTTGTGACGGTGGGGGTGTGTCACTCATATTGATCAAACTATCCTGTTAGGGAACAGTGACAGTTAGCTGGTTTATGCTACTTGCATGAAATGCACCCCACTTGGTGCCAGGCTCCTGGTACAACTGGGGTACAACTGGGTACAGAAATGTGTAATACTGGGTGCTTCTAGGCGACAAACCAGAGACGTTGGTGCCAATATGAGAGGGGCTCATCCTTTAGTGTACGGAAAGGGGTTTCCCTTGCGTGAAATGGGAGATGTGGAAGTCTCAAATACATATAGGGGGGATACTCTCGGTGTGGGAGGTGGCACCACCGAGGGTTTTATCCACTTTAGAGTTCCCAGTTGAACGTCAGAGTTGTACCTCTGTGGTTAACAAGTCATGCAACTGTAGACAGTGTTGATGAATTGGGCTATATAGGTTGAGAAGAATCCAACCCATATATAACTGGGGCTCACCCCAGATGGTGTGCAATGTACAACAGAGGACACCCACAAATGTGTGTGAGGTGTAATAGGTAGGTATCCCCATGTCCAGATCGCTGTAAAACTTGGACTGGAATAAAAAAAAGATGGCCGCTGTGACCGTCAAAATTTAGTGCCAGGCAACCCCACCACCCTCCAAAACCCCCAGATACCGGGTGACCAAAACAAAGTAAGGACACGATCGCTGCACTCACGGGGCTCGCCGCTCTACAGAGTGAGCTGGAAAACAGGCAAGACACACAATCCTGAGGTAGGAGACAGTCCACAGAAGGGGGAGTGTAAAGAAAAGTATAAAATCGTTTTCGAGAGGGGACATTGGTAGTAGAGAAATTACCCATAGCACCTGTCTTGCAAAGACTTCTCATTGAGCTGCATTAGGAATACTGTAATTGAAAAGCAACAGAAAGTCTGGGATGAGGAAAAAGGGGATGGTGAAAATGGGGATGGCTTGCAAAGGCTGCAGACAAAAGATCTGCAGCTTTTTGCAAGCTGTTTTTAGATATACCACAAAAAAAAAAAGCATAACTAGAAAGAAATGCATGTTTTCATTGATGGGTATATCTACTAAACTTAGATTTGTTTTACATTTTTATTTTGGTAGTGGAGTGTCTCTTTAATTATATTGGGCCATACATTTGTTTCAGTAGCAGTGTCATTAATAATTTTACCACCTTTTTGTTTTGGAAATAGATTAGTTGAGGATGTATTGTGCCTTGGCTAATTTGAGTCATCTGCCTTACTCCTATGCTAATCCCTACATGCTGAAACTCTACCATTCCAATCTAGGGCATATTAATTTGGATCATCATGCTGTATAAAGCCTCAGTTAGCTTTCCTGTAGAATTATTCCATTTAGTTTTATATACCAATTAAGATATGTTGATAAAAACAAAGAGCTAAACATTAACAGTGATCTGAAAAAGATTTGTACATTTTAGTGCCGCTCCCCAAACACTGCAATTAAAGATGCAAGCTGTAGGGTCTGAATGTGTGTGGCCAGAAAGCGCTGCCATTAGATGAATAGGGAATCAATTTTTAGTATCTGTCTAAAAAACTGTCGAAAAGATTTCAAGACATGCCTTTTTATCTGCCCTCTTCAATTCTTTAAACAGAGCCCATATAGTGACACTAACAATATGACCTGTTCGGTTCACTGCAGATTTGTGAGTTACTTTTTTTTAATTTGGTGGACTATAATTTTTTTTCCCTTTCAGGCATTTGGATAATACATTCCCTTGTCTACATGGGTTTTGCTGCATATTCTTAGAAGTAGTGACAATCCAGAAATATGAATGCTTTTATCACACAGTTAATTGTATAATTTTGCCATCATTACATGCAGTCCTATTCCAGGAATCATTAGGTGTTTTGCGATAGATTTCTTTCTGACATTTGGATTTCAGGTATCATCTGCAGGTGGCAATAAGAAACAATATGGTACGCTTTATCAGTTCAGCTACAGAAACAAAAGCCAAGGTAATTACTGTCATTCTGAGCAGCCAGAGACATTTCAGGCTGCAATGGGGATCCTGACAGCTCTGTCTACCTTACTGTGGTTGATATCTGTTACATGGAACAAAGTAGTGCATTCTCAGGATCCTTCAGTAGAATACATTAATAATAGTGCTTGACGTGTATTTATGGCCCCAATACCTGGCATTTAAGTGTGCTATCTTTGTTCAGGTTATTGTATTATTTGAAAAGGACAAATACAAATATAATGCCTTTCCTTCATTAATTACATTATGCAAGATCATTAATAGTAAAATTTACATTCATATGGAAGATTTTAGCCAGTATGAATTATAATACAAATATGATAAACATTCTGCCTTCATTCAACAAAAGAAAAATATAGATTTAAAAGTCAATAAGAGCAATCCAAACAGCCACAGAGGATACAAGCAGGAAAAGATAAAGGGCTGTTGCGTCAGATGATAATGGCGTTAAATTCACTAAACGTGGTATGTGAAGAGCTGGCAAGAAAAGTGGAGATTTCAGACCTGCAGCAATACCGGAGTTGGAGAATGATCTTTTGGTCTAAAATTAAATTCTGCTGTCGTTTATTTGCAGTGATTGTAAAATTCCATGAAAGGTGTTGTCGGAAAATTAGCAAATTATCTTACAAAATTGGTGTAAACTGTATGTGCTCCGTTAACATCATCAACATTAGCAGCACAGTGCTAAAGCCATCTTCCTTGCTCCCACTGCCAAATGAAACAAAAATGTAACCCTTTCAATGTCACAAATGCTGAACTGAACCATAGCACTGACAGGGCTGCAATAGATACAGCATTTAAAGTAAAGGGTTACAAGTCTCTGAGATACCCATAAAAGAAGACAAAAATTCACCCCTAACAAAACAAGCAGTATCCACAGGACCATTGCTGAAATTAGTGGGAAAGAAAATAACCTCCTCTTGCATGAGATAAGGTGACCTTTTCTATTAACAATTAAAATGGGGTCTGCACTTACCTTTTTTACTGTAAGGACTTGGTACATTGACTCATGCTCAGTATATGAGACGTGATTTATATCAACACTTCTTCTGCCCATCACTGTGTACAGTAGAATTGGGATATGAATGGGCTACAGTAATAATCATGAACCACGATTATTGTCTGATTATAAAATATACCATTTCCTTTCCAATATTGCAAGGTATAGACCCCAGGACTCTGACCAGAAAGACCAAGGAATGCTAAGTACTATGTCCGTACATCCACCCCCGGTAGGGTTTAACGCTGACAAGGTTAATTATCAAGGAAATGTTAAATATGGGAGTCATGGGGAGGTTTAGTAAAGATTGTCTTTTTTCTTAGGTTTAGAGCAATTTAGGGTACCTGTATACTATTAGCTACTTTTTTAAGGTTTTCTTTTATGATGAAGAGCAAAGGGGGAAGAGTCTTACTAACAAAGAGGAGAGCAGCAACCCTAAGAAGGGAATCCCTCAAAAACCCTATTAAAACAGAAAAGAACAGAGGAGTTAAGGGCTGCGCTATAAGATCAGAGGACTATGAAATAAAAACCAATAAATTAAAATGTATAATCAACAAATAATAAAACCTGGGTATAATAATAGCAATTTTTATATAATTGTATCATTTATTTTATTTATTTATCTTATTGTTCCTACTGAGAGCACTATCTGCTGTTTCATATATTTTGTGGCAAACGACGGAACCCAAGCCGGCCAGACGGACCTATCCTTCCAGTATATCCTCAAGTGAGGATTAAACTACCAAGCGCCTCTCACACCTGAGCTGGTCCTAGCTTACATTTAAGCAACGAAAAGGAACTCAAGCCAGACGTACGGACTGACTATTCCAGTATATCCTGAAGTGGGGATCATACCACTAAGTGCCCTTTGTGACGAGATCAATCTTGCCACATTGCATTGGAGAAGCCTGGTTGCTCGCCTGCTACCTTTGGACTATGGCCCCATGTTAAAAGACATCTTTTCACTGCAGAAAAGACTTATTCGTGCTTTTATGCCCGGTGTTCGGTAGATTCTCAGATTTACTGAATGAACTCATATAACCCAGATAGGTTTGCCATGGAGCCTATTCATGTAATAAAAGACTTTGGCGCCATGGCAATTGAACTGTATGTGTTTGTGGTCTAAGCGCCATTCAGTATTAATGTGCGCTCAGACCTAAGCTATCTGGGCATATGTTGCATGTCTGTATTTTATGTCATAAATGTAACCTTGTGTATTTTATTGTATTTACTGTCTTTTTGCTGCCATGTGTTCAATGGAGTTTTGCCTCTGTCTTTGGAGATAATTGGATTACTTCTAATTATCTCCAGGATAGAAGACTCTGTGGAACTGGTTTTGGGCAGAAAAGCCATGCTTCCTTTGGTCACAAAGGACTACGATCTATCTTTTGAACCACTGGACCAATTTGTATGATTTTGACGTATGTTTGTATTTGGAGTATGTTGATTCTGAAAATGTGAATGTGATGCATACTTTTCAAGTTATGAATAATGTGGAAAATTGTATTTCTCTGCTTGTGATAATTACATTACCCATTGTGTAAGGTAATTGTATCACAGGCAGAGGGGAGGATTTTGTGTGGGAGTGTCTGAGTGTATTGTATGTGTTTATTGGTTGTGTTCCAAAACCCTGTGGGTGGTACTAATGTGTAAGAATTTGTACATAAGCACAATAAACCCACAGCTCTGTCTGTTCACTGCTTGACCCTCAACACGGAGCTTTGTCTCGTTCTTGGGGGGATTTATTGTATGCTGTTCCAGTTCGACTGCTAGGAGTGTAAACCTATTCGTATGGTTTTTCCTATTCGGCTGTTTACAGCATTCATATGGTTTCCTGTTTGGCGGATTGGTGTTCTGCAGTAGCTGTGCCTGTGTCTCTGGAAGGGGAAGATCTACTAAACGGCGGTTTAACCCTTTTATGCCTGGGGGTGCCGTTACAATTGGTGGCAAGCGGCGGGATCGTTCCTACAGCCAGAAGGACAGCTACAGGAGACACCATTTCTTTGGATTTACAAGTTGGGGGCAACGCATGTCCCAGTACAGCGACCCTAAAAGCAACAGAATGGAACCAGCAGTGTTATACAAGGAGGAGGTCCTGGATGGCTGGAATGCATTAAGGAAAGGCATCTGGTACCAGGCCCTAGATAATGTACAATACCAGTGGGGTGAGAGTCTCCCCAGTGAAGAGCAGCAGTTGCAGAAGCAAGTGGCCCTGCGGATGCCCTTCCTGGGAGAGCAGCCCTTGGAGGAATGGGTGAAGGAACTAAAGCACCGGGTATGGCAGGCGCTCTGGTGGTATATGGCACAGTATATACCCTGGACAGCCGAGCATGACAAGCCAGAGGGAGAGGAGTTTGATGTTCCTGGCTTGTTATGGGAGTCCTTTGCAGAGTCTGACTTCGGGAGCCCTGCGCAAAACAGACTTCAGGACATTTTCTATGAGAGAGAGGCTAGGCATGACTGGGATGACCCCCATGAGGTAGAGCAAGACCTGGCTCACCTAGCAACCCTGGAGTGGGAACTGGAGCAGGACTACCGAGATCTCTTCCACTCCATTGGGAAGGCTCAGCAGGACAGCAAGGTGACAGATCCAGTTCCAGACCCCTTCAGCTGGGAAGATATTGTTGAGATTTACTGGGAGGAACCCCAGGCGGCAGGTGGAGATGGGACCGTGGTCTCTCCACCGGCACTACAGGGATGCCGGAGCGGTCAGCCCAGATCCCCAGCGGCTGATTGATTTGCAGGGAATAGAGAGCCGTGTATCCTTTCCCCAGCGGCAGTGTGAAGTGCAGGGAGTGGAGAGCATCGTCTCCCTCCCCAGCAGCAGTGTTCCTTGCAGGGAGAGGAGAGCAGTGTCCTCCCTCCCCAGCGGCAGAATGAGCTACAGGGATGCTGGGCGGTCGGCTCAGATCCCCAGCGGCAGTGTGAATTGCAGGGAATTGGGAGCCCAGTCTCCATTCCCCAGCGGCAGGCTGAGTTACAGGGGACAGAGATAGTTGCTGCTGTCCCCCAGCAGCAGAATGAATTGCAGGGAATTGGGAGCCCAGTCTCCATTCCCCAGCGGCAGTATGAGTTATTGGGAATTGGGAGCCCAGTCTCCATTCCCCAGTGGGAGATACAGCAGGGAATTGGGAGCCCAGTCTCCATTGCCCAGCGGCAGAGTGTCCTACCGGGAATAGAGAGCCCAGTCTCCTTTCCCCAGCAGCAGGACTCTGTATTGGGAGCAGAGACAGTCTGTCTCCCTCCCCTGCGGCTGGAAGTATGTATGGGAGAAGAGCTTGTTACCCCCTCTCCCCAGCGGCAGCTTAATGTACCCGGGGGAGACAGTAAGCCCCACAGCTGTGCAGATGGGACCGTGGTCTCTGCACTTACAGCACAGGGGGTAGGAACGGTCGGTTCTGCCCCCCCAGCGACAGGGCTGTTTAGCCAAAGGGGAGACAGTCTATCTCCAGCAGCAGGGCTGTGTGTCTAAAGGGGAGACAGTCAGTCTCCAGCAGCAGGGCTGTGTGTCTAAAGGGGAGACAGTCGGTCTCCCCCTCCAACAACCAGGCTTCAACCAGGCTACCCCTCCAGTAGCGCTGGCACCAGGGCAGAGTACCGCTGGTCTCTGCCCACTCAGCAACCCACCAAGTCAGCATACCCGTACCCAGCACAGCCGTGGTGAGGCACCTGGACATGGACAAGCTTCTCCTCTACCCAGGTGTAGTAACCATTTATTGTGGGTGGGCTGTGCTGTTGATTGTGTTTTGTGGGTGGGCTGCTGGACTAACAAGGGCACTGACCGGCAGGAGGTTAGATACCCTGTTAGTCTGTTTGGAAAAGGGGAGAGATGTGACGAGAGCAATCTCGCCACATTGCATTGAAGAAGCCTGGTTGCTCGCCTGCTACCTTTGGACTATGGCCCCATGTTAAAAGACATCTTTTTCACTGCAGAAAATACTTATTCGTGCTTTTCTGCCCGGTGTTTGGTAGATTCTCGGATTTACTGAATGAACTCACATAACCCAGATAGGTATGCCATAGAGCCTATTCATGTAATAAAAGACTTTGGCTCCATGGCAATTGAACTGTATGTGTTTGTGGTCTGAGCGCCATTCAGTATTAATGTGCGCTCAGACCTAAGCTATCTGGGCATATGTTGCATGTCTGTATTTTATGTCATAAATGTAACCTTGTGTATTTTATTGTATTTTACTGTCTTTTTGCTGCCATGTGTTCAATGGAGTTTTGCATCTGTCTTTGGAGATAATTGGATTACTTCTAATTATCTCCAGGATAGAAGACTCTGTGGAACTGGTTTTGAGCAGAAAAGCCATGCTTCCTGTGGTCACAAAGGACTACGATCTATCTTTTGAACCACTGGACCAATTTGTATGATTTTGACGTATGTTTGTATTTTGAGTATGCTGATTCTGAAAATGTAAGTATTTATGTGAATGTGATGCATACTTTTCAAGTTATGAATAATGTGGAAAAATTGTATTTCTCTGCTTGTGCTAAATTACATTACCCATTGTGTAAGGTAATTGAATCACATGCAGAGGGGAGGAATTTGTGTGGGAGTGTCTGAGTGTATTGTATGTGTTTATTGGTTGTGTTCCAAAACCCTGTGGGTGGTACTAATGTGTAAGAATGTGTACATAAGCACAATAAACCCACATAGAAACATAGAAACATAGAATGTGATGGCAGATAAGAGCCATTCGGCCCATCTAGTCTGCCCAATTTTCTAAATACTTTCATTAGTCCCTAGTCTTATCTTATAGTTAGGATAGCCTTATGCCTATCCCACGAATGCTTAAACTCCTTTACTGTGTTAACCTCTACCACTTCAGCTGGAAGGCTATTCCATGCATCCACTACCCTCTCAGTAAAGTAATACTTCCTGATATTATTTTTAAACCTTTGTCCCTCTAATTTAAGATTATGTCCTCTTGTTGTGGTAGTTTTTCTTCTTTTAAATATAGTCTCCTCCTTTACTGTGTTGATTCCTGTGTTATATTTAAATGTTTCTATCATATCCCCCCTGTCTCGTCTTTCCTCCAAGCTATACATGTTAAGATCCTTTAACTTTTCCTGGTAAGTTTTATCCCACAATCCATGAACCAGTTTAGTAGCCCTTCTCTGAACCCTCTCTAAGGTATCAATATCCTTCTGAAGATACGGTCTCCAGTACTGTGTACAATACTCCAAGTGAGGTCTCACCAGTGTTCTGTACAATGGCATGAGCACTTCCTCTTTCTACTGCTAATACCTCTCCCTATACAACCAAGCATTCTGCTAGCCTTTCCTGCTGCTCTATTACATTGTCTGCCTACCTTTAAGTCATCAGAAATAATCACCCCTAAATCTCTTTCCTCATATGTTGAGGTTAGGACTCTATCAAATATTCTGTACTCTGCCCTTGGGTTTTTTCGTCCAAGATGCATTATCTTGCACTTATCCACATTAAATGTCAGTTGCCACAATTCTGACCATTTTTCTAGTTTACCTAAATCATTTGTCATTTGGCTTATCCCTCCTGGAACATCAATCCTGTTACATATCTTAGTATCATCAGCAAAAAGACATATACCAGTGAGACTGTTCCTATTAATTTTATGTTTAACTCATTTTTTTATCATCTGACTTTTATTTTGAATATTTGGATGAACTTTGTTTTCCTACATAATATTATTGCTATAGCAATTTTTATATAATTGTATCATTTATTTTATTTATTTATCTTATTGTTCCTACTGAGAGCACTATCTGCTGTTTCATATATTTTGTGGTAAACAACGGAACCCAAGCCGGCCAGACGGACCTATCCTTCCAGTATATCCTCAAGTGGGATTAAACTACCAAGCGCCTCTCACACCTGAGCTGGTCCTAGCTTACATTTAAGCAACCAAAAGGAACTCAAGCAGGATGGACGCACCGACTATTCCAGTATATCCTGAAGTGGGGATCATACCACTAAGTGCCATTCATCCCAGAGCTGCCCCTAGCTCCACCAAATGTGAGTTCATTATCCTCTTTTTGATTTATTTTCCACACCTAGATCTACAAAATTTCACCATTGGAAGTATTTCTTTTGTCTCTTTTTTATCTTCACATATATGGACTATTTACTACACGGACGGATCAACATCTGAGGATTATATCCACACCATCACTATATACCAGTGAGACTGTTCCTATTAATTTTATTTTTAACTCATTTTTTTATCATCTGACTTTTATTTTGAATATTTGGATGAACTTTGTTTTCCTACATAATATTATTGCTATTATTATACCCAGGTTTTATTACTTGTTGATTATACATTTTCATTTATTGGTTTTTATTTCATAGTCCTCTGATCTTATAGCGCAGCCCTTAACTCCTCTGTTCTTTTCTTTTATGATGGTTTTAGTAAAATAATAAAATAGATTCTGCCTTTGCACATGTCCTAGGGAGAGTTGATGTTTCCCATAATAGCTTTAATGTGGCTTTGAGCTGTCAAAATCATAGCAGAACCGTGAAATGATGTCATATTTTCTCATTGTAGAATATATGCTCCTTGTAAAAAAACAAACGTAAGAGTCGGGTATACAATAGATTTAAATTATTAATTAGAAGTAAATATATTACAAGTTGAACACATGCAGAATCCCTTATTATAAAAGAGATTACAACAATAAAATATAAAAAATATCAAAAGGGTGAGCCAAGGCAAAAAATATTGGTGTTATAAAAATAGAGTTTATTATTATAAGCATACAATGGCGTCTACGCCACATAATGTCTACTAAGAAATCGCAATATAGATTATAGTAATACTGACCAGAGTAGATAGTTCTCTGTAATCAGGGTACAGATCAACACTGAGTACTATCAAATGATAAGCACCGGTACATGTATACAACCAGACAAAGAAGCTGTGAAAATTGAGAATTTCAATGCTAATTAATTCAGCTTTAACCATTTTAATGGGCAGTACAATTTGAGACACATTTTAATTATGTTGTGGGGGGAATAACAGACAGTAAATGAATACAAGCAATTTCCTATTTCCAGTGCTAAGGTGTTACTTATTATTTTGTCAAGATAGACAGATCAATATTGATCATTCAAATAATTTGTCATGTATTTTGAATCGGCTATAGCAGTATTGAAATGATTTTGTTTCTGCTATATGCATTTCGACTTGGTTTTTAGTTAGTATTGTTATTTATGCACTAATGTGATTTTAAAATGCACTTGAAGTACACTTTGTTCATTGAAGAAAATGTTTATAAGTTAGTTAGGATAGACTGGCTCTGTAATTTTCAGAAGAGTATTTGAGGTCATAGCGGAGTCAAAATACAAGTGGGCTAATTCTTAAACTGGCCCTGTGTGCAAAATACCAAACAAAAACACCAAATACTATTTTATTGTTCTTTTAGATTCTATTGCTTCCTTCCCCTCTCGCCAAGGCTATGAAGTGAATTAATTACTCTAATTAAAATGACACTTTGTTTTAAGATTAGAGATGTGCAAAAATATTAATATGAAATGTATATTGTTTACTCTAGGATGGAGACACTTTGTGGACGCATTCTCTTTTCAACAGCCCTGACATCTACATTCTCAACCAACAAGCGACATGCTATAAATTCTGTGACCATACAAAACCCAATAATTGCTGCTGGAGCTGTCTCAAAAGGCTTGAGATGCATTATTATAACCTGATGTTTCTAATTTATCTTTCCCATAATCGTTTTGTATTATCATGATTCTAAAACATATTAATATCGTTTGGATTTTTTTAATGCCTGTCTGTAGAGCAATAAACAATCTAATCTTGGTTGCTATGAAACATTCATAGTGATATCTATTTGATCGTAAAAAGCTAATTAGTAAAGATTTTCTTTTGTGTTAATGATGTGCAATTGATTATAGCTGGAGGATGCAAAGAGACTGGAGATTTTTTCCATAATGAGTGTTACATATCATCCCCTATGCACTATGCAGCAATGCAAAAGTAATGTCATTTTTTATGACTTCTTTTTATGATGCAGACAATGAGTACAATCTATTCATCTTGGTATTCTGCCATAGCCCTTTGTAGAAAGACATTGTTCAACCCCTCCTGGGAGCCTAAAGTTATTGTCTACCAATATCACACCTAAATGAGGTGCCTTAATAGCCCAGTGGACATCCGTTTAATTCTGTCAGTTAACATAAATTATCACCTGGCTATTTTCTTCATTCATTCATAGATAATTATAATAGTTGCAAAAAAAAAAAAATATATATATATATATATATATTTATATATATTTAAAATAATATTCTATTATTGATTGCTCATAAATCAAATAATAAAACACTGCAGGCTAAATTTGCAAGGACACTCACATGTCAAGAAAGCAAAGTATAAGATACCTGTCAATTAAATTTCTATCTACTGGAAACCAACTGGTATAAAGTTAACATGCATGATTATTTACTAAAGTGAGAATTGTCAGCAATTGAGAGGGAATACATAGTGAATTTCACATTTAAGGCCAAAACAGTAAAAATGGAAGCATTGCTGATGGAAATTTGTAACAGTTTGTCTAATTTGGTCTTAAGTTTGAAATTCACTTTGAACTCCCAGGAATTCTCATTTTAGTAAATATCCCTGATCATTTGAATCTCTTTGATTTCATTCTATTGTAGGTGTTCCTTGTGTGCTGCACATCCTTTCATAACACTGCATTTGATCTTGAGTTAAAACTTTAGTGAGTGGTTATTTATATATTTTTATTTAATAAAAAAAAATGTTTTTACCAGTTGCATAGTGATTTCCCAAATTTCATGCTCAAGCATGTTCATTTTGATTTGTGATGCTTAATTCTGCCACTGACACCAAAAATTCTAACATTTAGTGATGGAACTAATTATTATTCTGGCATTTATAAAGCACCAACTTATTCCACAGTGCTGTACAAGCAGGGAAAATAGACAATACAGACAAATCAATACAAAAGGAATATAGAAGCTTGCCTGTGAGCAGAGATTAACATTTACAGCCCTGTTATACTAAGTAAACTAGCTTGTGAGCTTACAATCTAAAGGTTATAAAGGGGACCTGAGCCAAGAGGGAACAAGGGGAGCTTAGAAGGACAGGCATTTGCACAATTGAATTGAAGAGGTAATCAGGGAAATACTAAACACCTGGAAAGGCATGCATAGTGAAAAAATGGACTATATTGCTGGAGAGGCCCTGAGGAGATAGCGCAGCTAAGCAGACAAGGGCCCATGTAGGAGTGTGGGGATAGATGCGTGGAAGTGTCTTGGGAAGTGTGTGTGGGTGGGGTTAGGTCTATGTGAGTTAGTAGGGGGAAGGTCTTACCTCAGTGCCACTTGGGATTCGGGCCAGCAAACAGCTTTCCGCCCGCCCGCCCACCCCTTGTAGTATTAGTTAGTCATAGCGAGCCGGGGCTATGTCCTTGCCAATTAAGTTTGAGGGGTTATGTTTAAGAATGGAGTAAGTTTAATTATGTTTGCAGGTCTCAACCTCCCCTGCTTCAAAGGGTTAACATTAGGTTGCCTGAGGTGTCGTGCCCATCGAGCGTGGATAAGGTCGGCTGATGGCGGGCATTGGAAGGATATGATTTATGACGAGGTGGGAGGTGAGAGGAAATGGTGATTAGGAACCACTGTATGTTTATTGGCAAGGACGGTTGGGTCACTGTATAACACTGTTGAGTTATATATGTATATATGTTAATTTATGCTTATTTATGTCTAACAATTTGGTTACAGAAAAGAAGAGATTTAATAAATAATGTTATGGATGTGTTATGCAGTAATTTATTTATGTTATAATAAATGCTGTGGCCTGGTCATCCATTCTAAGTTGTCTGTCGTTATTGGGGGGGGGGGGGGGTTCAATGGGGTTAGTTATGTTTATGCTGCATCATAATTCCCCACTACGTACATACATGGATATAGTTGTGATGCCTCTAGATGGGATAGAATGAAGAGATATTAGCAAGGTGTGTACTGCGGGGGAAGGGAGGGTAGTAAGGACAAATCAGGAGGGAAAGAAGAAAAACTGTGTTGTTTTAAAAGTGATAAGTTTTTCCAAAAGGTTCTATGTTCCCAAAAATTAATTATTATTATTATTATGATATTTATAGAGCGCCATCAAATTCCGCAGCGCTTTACAATGGGTGGACGAACAGACATGTAGTTGTAACCAGACAAGTTGGACACACAGGAACAGAGGGGTTGAGGGCCCCGCTCAATGAGCTTACATGCTAGAGGGAGTGGGGTAAAATGACACAAAAAGGTAATGATAGTATTAGACTAATGACAGTTGCAGAAGAGGAATCAGTCAGGAGCTATTAACAGTGTAATTGATACGCTTTTATGAAGAAGTGGGTTTTTAACGATTTTTTGAAGGAGTGGAGACTGGGTGAGCATCTAACGGAGGAGGGAAGCGAGTTCCACAGGAACGGTGCAGCCCTCGAGAAATCTTGAAGGCGAGCATCAGAGGTGGGAGTACGGACAGAAGATAGACGTAAGTCTTCAGCAGATCGTAAGGGCCTAGACGGGACATACTTGTGTATAAGGGAGGATAGATAGGTGGGAGCAGCATTATGTAGAGATTTGAAAGCAAGAACCAGAATTTTTAATTGAGCTCTATATTTTATAGGAAGCCAATGTAGGGATTAACAGAAGGGTGAGGCATGGGAGGTGCGTGCGGACAGGAAGATGAGCCTTGCCGCTGCATTCATTATGGACTGTAACGGCGCTAGTTGGGAGCACGTAAGACCACTGAGAAGCGGATTACAGTAGTCAAGGTGAGAAAGGACAGTGGAATGAACCAACACCTTAGTCGCATCTGGCGTTAAGTAGGGGCAGATGCATGCTATGTTTTTTAGATGGAAATGACAGGATTTGGCGATAGATTGAACATGAGGCTTGAAGGAGAGGTCGGAGTCAAAGAGAACACCTAGGCAGCGAGCCTGTGTGGTGGAGCTGATGGTAGCACCGTAGACTTGGAGGGAGACAGACACAGGAGTAAAAACACTTGAGGGAGGAAAGACCAGAATTTCAGTTTTGGTCAAGTTTCGTTTAAGGAAGTGGGCAGCCATTCAGTTAGAAATAGCAGAGACGCAGTCAGAGACACTAGTCAAGAGGGACAGGGAGAGATCAGGAGAGGACAGGTAGATTTGCTTGTCATCTGCATAGACATGATATTGGAAACCAAAGGAGCTAATGAGTTTACCAAGGGAGGCAGTATAGATGGAGAACAGTAGGGGACCAAGGACTGAACCTTGGGGGACACCAACAGAGAGGAGTTGGGGAGAAGAAGCAGAGCCAGAGAAAGAAACACTGAAAGAAAGCTGGGAGAGGTAGGAGGAGCACCAGGAGAGAGCAGTATCTTGTAGACCGATATTGCGGAGGATGAGAAGAAGCTGTTGATGATCAACAGTGTCAAAAGCCGCAGACAGGTCAAGGAGAATTTGCATAGAGTAGTTACCACGAGATTTTGCAGTGAGTAGATCATTGGATACTTTGGTCACATGTACTGTAAGTTTTGATAGATTGTATACACAGAATACACGAAAAATTGCATGTACAAAAAAATTGCATTAAAAAGGAACTGGAAAGAAAGTAATAAAGATAATAGAACTAATAGCTACAAAGCTTTACATATTTATAGTAAATTAGTGTCCTCAAAGCTGCCTTCAGTATCTCCACGCTCGTGGGATGTTGCTGGGGAAAATGGAAGATACTCCTTGGAGTCAATTTTGATGTGAGGCCTTTCAGAGCTCACTGAATTATGTTGGGGAAATGGAAAATATTGCTTAAAATTGATTTTGATCGGAGGATGGTATAGAATGAAGAGAATGCCCTGGTGCAAGAAATTTGTTGTACAACTCCTATGTGTCACGGTAGTTTACCCCTACACGCAGGATTTAGTTCAACAATCGACAGATAGAGCAGATACAACTTACCGGACCTTAGAATGTCCGGACTCGCCGTATAGCAGAGAAAAGACAGAGTCAAGAACAAGCCGAGGTCAAGGGAACAAAGAGACAGCGAGAACAAAAACTAGCCAAGGTCTGGTACACAGTAGACAGTAAGCTGGCAAACAAGACAAAACAGGGATAGAGAGATAAATGGAGTCAGATACAAAGCCAAGGTCAAGCACGAAAATCACAACTGAACACAACAAGCTCTAAAGGGAACTGAAACAGAAACCCCGATAGGGCAGGGAGTTAAGGGAGGGGTAAGTATAAATACCCTAAACTTTACTTTGATTGGCCCCTGTCATATCCACGCCCCCAAAATGTGAGTGTCTGGGGAATGTGGGATGACAGGGGCCAATGGGAGCACATTTCATTTCTTGGCTCCCACTGCCCCTTTAAGAGCATGCCCAAGATGCGCGGCACGCTCTTAGAGCTAGGCGGAACACGTGACCGCATCTCGCGGTCCATGCCTGCCTTCATTTGGGAGCTGCGCACGGCGGGAAGTGAGGACCTTGGCCGGCCCCGGGTAAGGTAAGTACCGCTACACTATGACGCTTTGCCAGCTGGGCATCCACCACTATACATACAGATACATACAGAGATGCAAATTCAGATACACACATATAAAAACACTGACACATACACACATGCAGGTAATAATTTCCATATTTTTTATTCCATACTTCTGTTCATATCTTTTGGGTGCAGGAGGGTGGCTTCCCTGGAATTATGTTGCTGGATGAGGCTTATGGGAGTCTGGTCCAGACTCACTTTTTCCTCTTCCCAATCCTGCTCTTACTAGCGTGCATTGCTCTTTCTTTAAGTTTGGATGAAATTACCTGAACACACTTCTTTCCAGCACTTGTGGTCTGAGGAGTTGTGGGCCACAAAGTCTAAATGAATGCCAATGTACAAGAGTTCAATGTCTGCATAAATGAAACTGTGAAAGTGAAGGCTTCATCAGAAAAACCCAACCAAGCTTTTTCAATAAGAACCTTTTCCTTTGAACAGAACTCATGTTTTTACCAAACTGTAAGCCACTACAGCCCCTACAATATTTTATCCACTCATGTGTAGGTTTTAAAATTCTTTACCTCAATGACACTATATGCACATGCATTATTTACTTTTGCAATAGCTCACTTTAGCATGGGAATGCACATTGGCATCTTATTCAGGAAATTGCAAGAATCCCTCTTTGTCAATTCATTATTATTATTAGGTATTACTATTATAACTATTAAGGACCACTCATTGTTCCCTCCAACCTGCGGGCTGCACTGGCGGTAGTTGTGTAGCTGCTAGCAGCGGTGGAACTACCTCGGTCACAGAGGTCGCAGCTGCGACCGGGCCTGTCACTCCAGGCAGCCCAGCCACCCATCATTCAATAAAGGATGGATTCAGAGAATTAAGTAGACCAATCACATGCATCTTATCTTAATATCATGTTGGGTTTATCCTTAGATTTGCCTGCCTTTCTGTGTACTATTCATAGTCAGCAAGTGCTGTGTGCTTACTATGTTATTTAACATCTGAAAATGTTTACATCTGAAAGATTAAAACCTGGGGGACCTGGCACCCAGACCACTTCATTAAGCTGAAGTGGTTTGGGTGGCTATAGTGGTCCTTTAACAATAGTGGTCTTGAAGGCTGTTAGGATGGCATGGAACTTAACACTGTTTTGGTGGTGAGTAAGGTTAAAGCCATACTCACACCAGAGAGACCCAGGTATCACTCGACACTTGTGGCTCCTCTCTGTCATCTGGTGCCATATTTATTTACCCTAGACTGACAGATGAGCTGCATGCAGCTCTCAAATTAAGCACTTCATACAGCCCTTTAAATACTTTCAAATTCTGAGCCTGCCCCCAACCTGTGGGAGACCCACAGGGTCTGAAAAGACCCTCACAGAGTCTTCATGCCTGATCCCCTCTACAATGTGATCAATGCTGTGCTATTTAACTGTCTCAATTTAAAGAGCCTACCTACCTACAGTCACAACATGATCCAAATAGTTTACTCTTGAACAATGGTTACAACTGCATACTCTACAGATTTTTATTTCCCTCTCAACAAAAATGCATGTCATTTATTTACATAGAAAAAGAAAGAAAAAAATGAATTGGGGGCACACACACCGGAACATAATTTTATCACACAAATAAAGTTTTAAATTTGATGAAGCCATTTAAAATTATCTAACTTAGCACACAAATATGGGGACTCTGTGATGTGCATTGTAATTATATACATCATATGTGATATACGTGTGTACATGTATGCATCTC